ACATGCCTACAACTGGAGTCGAATGGAACATTCTTCTAAAGAGATCTGGTAAAATCTAATTCCTTCATAAGGAAAACACTTGGCAGTTAGGTGCAGGCCAGGCGAGGCGTGGACTGACAGAACATGCAGTAGACACACAGCTTACACCACAGTGACGGACAATCCCAGACATCAGGAAATTAATCCCACAGACATTCTCATCGGTGCGAACAGTGACACACACCGGTGATGCTGCGAGGAAACTCAGCCATCCTTGGAAAGGTCTCTGGCCCTTTTATCTGGTAATAATTCCAGTCCAACCCATGCCCTCCGAGACTGTCAAGGGGAACCCTCCAGGTTCTCTACAGGTAGAGCTTCTGAGGACCTAGCCTGAGGCGGGCTCATGGCCTGCAGCCCGGGTCTGGCCTGAAACCAGTTTAGGCCTCAACATTTCAGTGCAGAAGCCTGGAGACTTGTGGTCCTTGGGCCCAGAGATGAAATTTGGTAAATGCTTAACTTTGTCATTGGCAATTGAACAGTTTGTTGAAAGCATCTTCAGTAAGGGGAAGTGAAACCCGAAGAAGTAAATCAGGATGAGGAATGAGGTGACTCGTTTCTGGGTGACTGAGGCAGGCTGTCTGCGCCAGGGGAGGCAGACACTGCTCCTTCTGACGAGCATTTTGTCAGAACGCAAGGTTCCACTCCAGGCAGTAAAACTAACTCTCAGATCGGGTGACTGACAGCTGGCTGCAGTTCAGGGCCACAGTCACCTTGAAGTCTAAAATTAAATAATGCACCACATAGTTGTGGTTACTAAGGCTGACTTTTATCTAAGTTTAAACCCCAAACTGTATCATCCAGGGAACGGCACACATGCAGACACATACGCTCCTGACGGAAAAACCGGAAATAAAACGCGCAAGCCAGATGTACCTGTGATGCAGCTCCATCTGCCAGAAGCATTCATTTCATTCCTACACTGCTATTTCCCATGCTTTCTAATACGTGGATTATCTGATTTCTTGCTGGTTCAGTTGGTGTAAAAGTGCATCTTGGGATTTTAAGTGTGATTTCCCTAATTCCTAAGGAGATGCTGGCAAACCCAGTCCCACAGGTCTCTGTTTGCTGTGAGGATGTCTACAAATGGAGAGCCCAACTTGTAAGACGTCGAGACCATGCAAGAGTCACGGTGGGCCACTACCCACCTCCACTGCAGAGATGTTGTGCAGGCGCCTGCAGAGTGACTATGATGCCCCAGGTGGGCACCCTGCAAGTGTCTGTTCCAAAAAGGAGGGGATGGATGGCCCCGTGCTTGCCTCTGGTGGCACGGTCCTCGCCTGGGCAATCCCCAGATTCCGGACGATTTAGAGCTGACCCACACATCCCAGAGCGGCACTGTATTCAGCTCTCTGCAGTTCCTCCCAGCGCTCCTGCTGTGGTCTGGGAGAGCATTTACAGCAGAGGGGAAAGAACAAGGGCAAAGACCAAGAAGTGAGAGGGCGACACTGCGCCCTCTTCCCTGGTCCCGGTCCGCCCCGCACATGAGCAGCAGGAAGACTGGACACGACCGGCTCGCCGTGCGGCCCAGCGTGGTGATGGCACCTGACAGCTGGCAAGGTGGGCTGACGCGCGCATGGCCATGGCTTCCCTTCACGATGTACCGGTGCTGCCGGCAGATGCTGGCCAGACTCAGCACCCCCACCCCAGGCCCCTGCGGGCAGAGATGGTCTCACCAAGGCCAGGAGGAGAAGACAGGCCCCACTCCAGAGCACAGACGTGGGAGAAGTGGGCCTCACCAGACCTCCTGGCCACGTCTCATCTGCCGCCAGCTGAGGACATTGTGTTAAGTCACTGAAATCTGGGCTCTGTTTAAAGGTGTCAGGGTACTGAAGAACAGGGAACTTGATTCTTCCCCCAATGGCTGATAAAGCCTCCTCCTTCCTTCCTGGCCGCTCTCTGGCAGCTCCTGTCATCACTTCCCTGACCGCTACATCATTAGGCAACGCCTCCCATCACCCATCATCAAAAGTCCTCGTCAGAGTGGTATCCAGGAGTGTGCTGGGTAACTGTCACTGTGACCACAGCAGAGGTCCTCCCTGCTCCAGGGCAACGCTTAGGAGGTGGGTACTGTCCTCTTTTTACTGAGGAAAAAAAGGTTCAAGAAATTCTCAACTTCCTACAAGTTGAGTCCACAGTTCATACACATTCTCACAGCTATCAAAGACTTGCAAGGCCAGGGATTTAGTTCAATGGCACCACACCTGCCTGGCAAGCAGAAGGTCCTGGGTTCGAGCCCCAGTACTGCAAAAAAAAAAAAAGACGTGCAAGATCTGGTTTGCTACTAAACATAGGAAAATATCCTTGGTGATTAGGGAAATGACAGTTAAAATTCCAAGATGCACTTTATACCCAACAAATTGGCAAAAAAAAAAAATCAGATAATGCAAGCATTACTAAGGTTGTGAAAGGACAGCACGTAAAACTGAACACTTTCAACAATAATTTAACATCAAATTTAAAAGGTGAGGGCTGGGGATTTAGCTCACTGGTTCAGTCGCCTGCCTCAAAAGCCCAAGGAACCGAGTTCAATTTCCTGTACAAAAAAAGAAAAGGCGAATGTGATTCCCGTAATCCCATTACTCTGGGAGGCTGAGGCAGAGGGATCGCAAGTTCAAACCCACCCTAGGCGACTTAGAGAGGTCTTGCCTCAAAGTTTATAAATAAATGGATGGATGGATGGATGGATGGATAGGTGGATGGGTGGAAGGACGGACGGACGGATGGTGATGTGACTCAGGGCAAAGGACCTGGGTTTAATCCTCAGTACCACACCAAAAAAGTGATATGTTATATGTGCTCTGATCCAGCAGTTCAATTAGTAGGCACATAATCTAGAGCAGGTCCAGAAATGCTTACGGTGACATGGTCAGGGGACAAAAGTCGCTTTTCTTCGACCCCTTTTGCTTCCTCTCTCCGCCTCCACCCATCTCGATTCCCTCCTTCCTTTCCTCTCGTGTTTGTACGTTTGCACTATACAATCCCTGTGCACCGTGGATATGTTTACATAACACACTCCAATTTCTTTTTTTCCTCCTTTATCCTTTCCCTTTTCCTCCATCTCTTGATCCCCTTTCCCTTTAAGAACAAACTATCTCCCTCCATCTCATTACAGTAAATCCCCAACTTACAGAGTTGCAAACTTCCACAGGTGTTCTGTGTAAGGCTCGCTGTGTCAGATTATGAACGAATCCAATTTACGAACATTCTCCCAGAGCAGAACGCATTTGGTTCCGTTCTGTGTCATTTCCTGTGAAGTCGGTGGGAGCTCTGTGCAGGACAGCACCGGCCTCCATACATGAAGGTGAAATACTTGGTGCTTGAGCAAAACCCAGTTTCCAAATGAATTTCTGTTGGTTGAGAGAGCAGCTTGAGGACTCTGTGCTTGGCATCAGTCTATTTCCTTGGCAGTTTTCTGCAGTCACCACTTAGAAAGCTCCTGGTCTGCAGGATTTCAGTCCCCTATATACTCTGAGCGCTGGGGACCAAACCTAAGGCCTCACGCGCTGGAGAAGTGTTCTACCTCCGAGCTACACCCTGACCCCAACAATTACCTTCATAATTCAAAAAAATGAGTAGAGAGGATTTCAGATATCCCCAACATAAAAAAGTAATCAATGTTTGAAATAATGGGTAGACCAATGACCCTGATTTTATCATTACATATTTTTTGATCATTGCATATTGTAAACATGTATTAAAAATCATATTGGCGTCGGGGATTTAGCTCAGTAGTGCCACTGCCTGCCTCTCAAGCACAAGGTCGGGAGTTCAATCCCCGGCACCAAAAAAAAAAATCATATTGTATCGCATTAATATATACAACTGTGTCAATTAAAACTTTTTAAAACATATGAATGATAAATAAAACCACACAAAGCAAAAAGAGAAAAAGTAAACTTAAGCATCTATCAACAATAAACATGTAAAAAAAAAAACAGTAAACATGGGTGGAAACAATAGAGGAAGTTAGTGCGACAGCAGCTGAACAGCACAAGGAAACAAACCATGCAACAGGAAAATGTGTGTGAAACAAGCCTGAGCACACGTGGACGCCCACAGCTACTCCACTGCCCACAGCTTCAAAGGAAGCCTCTCTTAGGGCCCTGTGTGGAGCAGGCCCTGCGCCTCTCACCACCTGCGCGCCGTGGGCCCCGCCCTCGAGCGTGCTCGGGTCAGAACGCTGTCTGCAGCTGTCCGGCTCGCACCCCCAGCCTCGTGGGGTCCCCTTCTCCTTGGTCTGCCCAGCAGGCAAAGGCAGCTCAGCCCCAGACTCAGGCAGACCTGTAGCCTCCTCGGATGCGATTTTCTGGCCCAGAGCACTGCCCTCCCTGGGGGGAAGTCAGGCTCATCGCTTAGGCTCCCCAGAAATGTGGCTTCCCCAGTGAGGCGACCTCTCACCTCACCCACAAGATTGCTCCGGAGGCTACCCAGAATGCACCGCAATCTGAAATGTCCAGGGGCCATCACAGAACCAAGCAATCTCCTCTTCAAAGAAAACAGATGTCACCATAGGCCATGACCTTTGTAAATCATTCTTAAGTGAGGCATAAGGACGGATGCCTTTAATGTCTAAAGTTCTACAATTTAGGCCAAGGGATATTACATTCACTAGGGCACCTGAGGCCCTAAATTCAATCCCTAACACCAAATTAAGTAAGTAAAACTTCCTGATCAAAATCCCACTTTAGGCCAGGCATAGTGGCATACACCTGTCATGCCAGCACAAGGGAGGCTGAAGCAGGACTGCTACAAGTCTAAGGCCAGCAGGGGCCATATAGCAAGAGCCTGTCTCCAAAAAAAATTTTTTTAATTAAAAAATAAATAAATAAAATCTCAACTTTTTTTCAGAAAAAAATTCTAAGGAAGCAAAACTAAACAATTATATAATGCAGTCACAGATGGTAAAACTATGTAAAAATAAAGCAAGGAACAACCAACATGCAATTCGGGAAACCACTTACCTCTTACGGAGAGAAAGAAGGATATATTTGGGAGAGGTGCGCAGAAGCCGGCTTGGACCCTGCTGCTCAGCCTGTGATCTGGAGGTGGGACCCCAGGTCCCGGCACCAGCTAAATTGGGAATGTGGAATCGGGCTCCTCTCCAGCTACCCAGTCAGGATCTGCAGGTGAGGTGGAAGCACAATAAAGATACGTGTAAGGCTCTATTTCTACATTTTAGCAATTTTTGTATGTACGAAATATTTGATAAGTTAATGATAGTTTTAAACATACCACGTCAATAACTCTTTTTGGTGGTGATGGTTCTGAACCCAGGGCCTTCCTACTGAACCACACCCCTAGTCCTTTCTTCAGGTTTTAAATTTTGAGACAGAGTTTCACTAAATTGTGTGGGCTGGGCTTGAATAATGACCCTCCTGCCTCAGCCTCCCAGAGTGCTGGGATTACAGGTGTGCACCGCAACAACGCTGCAATCAAACAGATAAACTACAGGAGACCTCTCTGGCTTGGTCCTGTTTGAGTATTCCAGGAGAATGGCAAGGATTCTCACTCAGATATTCCCTGCCTCTGATAACACATTACCTTTTCCTGTTTTAGAAACCGTCAGAAAGTCAAATGCCTGAAATTTGAACTTTATACTTTGATGCTCTACTTGGTTGAAGAGAAAGAAGGAAGAAAAGAGGGGAAGAGATTCAATCCAGAAAGCTAAAAAAAATTATAGTTTCCAATATGGTATAAAGGCTTAATTTTGTCAGGCATGATGGCACACACCTGTAATCTCAGCACTTGGGAGGCTGAGGTGGGAGGATCTCCTCAAGTTTAAGGCTAGCCTGGGCTACAGTGTGCGTTTAGGGCCAGCCTGAACTACAAAGTGAGACCCTGTCTCAAAAAAAATAAATAAAAAGACTTAATTTGATCTTACATCTGAACGTGAGGCACTGTGTATAAATCATTTAAAACAGGTCATACTTTACATACTGACAATCAAATTTTACTTTCCTGTATAACTTTGCAACTCAGTGTCATTCAATTTACTTGAAATATTTGGTAGAGACTTTTTGTCTCTTTTTGTTTTTTGAGACAGGGTCTTACTAGGTAGTTCAGCCAGTTCTTGAACTGACTGCTGTACCACGCTGGCCTTGAATTTATCATGCTCCTCCTTCAGCCTCCCCAAGTGCTGGGATTATAAGCATGTACCACTACATCCAGCTGAGAAAAAAGTAATTTTAATGTTGCTGAGAAAAATCTGCAACTAGTGTCTATGCAAATAACAGTGTAGGAGATTGCGTAACTGTGAAGATGTCTTTTCAGTGCTCTCAAAAAGTCTGGAGAGAAAAATACGCACATGGATCACACTTCTTGATGAAAGGAGTCTGTCCCAAACAAAACCACTGCCAGCAGTGTGGTGGGCTAGGACCGCCCTCTTCCCAGTTCCCAGCCCATTTAGGAAGGGCGTTAACTTAAGGCCCAAACTGTACAAGCAGGGCTTTCCCACCTTGCAAGTTCAGGAGCGCTTTTTGTCTTCCAGGTGACAAGGCGTATTCTCTGGCGATTCGGAGCCATCAGTCAGTTGAACAGCCTGCCCCCGACACAGGCACATCGGGCTCACAGTGACAGGTAGAACGGTGGGGCGGGCAGGGACACAGCCAGGCATCCTCCATGTTCATCTGTACTGGCGTCTTGAAGCGCACAGTCCAGGCTCTCCGCAGGTTTCTGCCTGCTCAGAGAAGAGTGGTGCTTCACCCACTCTCCTACCCACTCTGCCTGGGTGTGGAGGTTCTCGGTTCACCTGTACCATCCCTGTTAACAGGCGGGGCTTCCAGAAGGTGCTTGGCTCAGGGACTCACGCTGACTTCCTGTTGGAACGGTGACGCGGTGGGCGTGACCCGGAAGGACATAGCTCCCTTCCGGCTCCTCCCCTGCCTCCTGGCTGCCATGTCGGTGAGGACCTACTCCTCCAGCATGCTCCTGTAAGTACCAAAAAGATGTTAAACCCTGCTGCCGTATATGGTGCCACAGTGTAGACATTTCTGTTCCAAAGAAGAGAAAAGAGGGATAAAAACTAGTGGAACAAAAACAAAACTGAAGCCCAGCAGGGCAAATATTAACTCCCACAGTTCCATGTCCAGCACCCAGCGGGTAATTTTTGGCAAGAATTAACTCCAAAGGGCTTGGCACTGTGGAGTGTCATGGCACTGCCCCTGTGACACTGCTGGTCAGTTCAGCCCCCATGGCTTCTTTCTTCACTCTTGCTCCATCCTTGCGGTTTTCCTCAGACAGTCCTCAGGCGTGGCTTCTCCAAGTCCCTAGGGTCTCCACTGCACCTTCAGACCTCCAGCTTCACACAACTTCACACACTGCCTTCTTGGGCACACTGTGTGGCCTCCCAGGCCTTCTGAAATCTGGGTGGAAGCCTCCCTGCAATACAACTCTTGCATTCAGCATGCCCCTAAAACCAGGGTCACGTAGATGATGCCAAGATCTGCTGCCAGCTGGAGCAGCAGCTAGACCCTCTTGTATCCTGGCTGCAGCATGCGTGTATGCGCACACACACACACACACACACACACACACACCCATACCCATTTCTTCTTAAGAGATACCGAAAGTTCCAGCGGGTAAGCCACAAGATTCCTGCTTGCGAATTTGCCAAACACCAAGCTGAGTTCTGCACTTTACAAGCCAAAGGAATTTTTACATAAACTTTGAGAGAAAGGAAGGTGCTGGAGAGACCAGCTCTGACCAATCACATTTTCTTACATGCTCGTGGTTAAGGCATGACTTTATGCTCTGGGTTACTAATGGTTCGAGCTTTTGAAGTTCAAGACCTTTTTAATCAAAAAGGTTTTATCTCTGCCTTGAGTTTCCAAAACATATTTTAAATCTCAAAGGCCAGGTAGTGACTTTTTCTGGTATCTGTGCCATGGTACAACCCCTACCCAGGGGCCTGGTCACCAGAAGGTCAAGTTTGAATAAGAAAGAACACCAGGTAAAAGAATTTTATTGTCAGAAAAAACTATATCAAGATAATATTGTACTATACATCATGGGGAAGATCCACATATTTGTTCTGTTTGCTGCATCTTACCTCTTAGCCACAAATGCTGGCTGTGCATTTGTAATATGTTGTTCCTGTATCTCCAGTTTTGTTTTCCTTTGTAATTGAACACAGTTGTCAGACTTGCTTAAATTCAATAAGCATCAAACTTGCTGCTTTTGGCTGAGTAAATGATATCTTCCTTTGTCTCTGGTGCAAAATCATTAACATCAGTATTTTATTTTTCCATTCATTTTCTGCTTTTATAAATAAGGGCAAATATGCAATAAAATGTCAGTTGTTTGCATGAACATCGCCATATATAGATGGCAACAGTTAAAACAGCTGGTGCAGTACAGAAGGAAACTTGATGTAGCTATTTGTCTTCTGAAGTAGCCCAGTCAGTTTGGTATGGGAAGGAAATTTAGAAGTGTTGATGTCTGATACACAAAAATGCCCTTTATGGGCACTGGGGCATGGTCAGTGGTAAAGCATTTGGCAAAATTAATGATTACCTGCATTTGATTAACTTTTTTCTCTATCATCTATCTTTACACCTCTTAAGAATAATTATAACAGTTTTACTTGTAACATCTTTATGGAGATACAATTCACATCATCTGTGATTTGCAAATGTGATTTTTAATATATAGAGTTGTTACAACCACCACAACAAGTTTTGAGCATTTTCATCACACCTCCCCCCAAAAAACCCCCGCACCCTTTCACCATGGCCTGTACTCAGGAATCGTTGCAACACTTTCTATCTCAGTAGATGCGCCTTGTGCACATTTCTGGAGGTTCAGTCACGAAATACATGCTTGTGCTTATTTTCTTCCTCTCATCAGGGCTCCACGGGTCCTCTGCCCCAGGTATCAGTGCTGCTTCCTTTCATGCCTCGGCAATACCCCATTTTGGAGATGTATCCATTTCAGGGATCCAGGAGTTACTGAGTAGACATCGGGATCCTGTCTGCCTTTTGGGCATGGTGAATAACGCTGAGTTTTACGAACACACATCTTTAGTTCTCTTGGCTGTGCATGCAGGAGTGGAATTGCTGGGCCATAGAAAATTTTTCTTTTACGCTTTCCGAGGAACTGCACAACTGCTTCCCGTGCACTGTTTTAATAGTCTCACCAGCAAGTGTGGAAGAGTTTCAATTTCCCCACATCCTCAACCCACCTTATTAGCTGCCCTTTGTATTAGTGACATCTAAATGGATGGGACAGCTTGCCTCATTGTGGTTTTGACTTCTATATTCCTGAATATTAAACATCACAAGCATATTTTTGTGAGCTTACTGGCCATCTTCTTTGACAAAACACTTTCCTCAGCTCTTGCATTCATTATTAATTGGGCTATCTTTTTATTATTGAGTTTAAGAGTTCTTTATATAATCCAGATACATCATTGAAAAAATGTGATTTTCAAATATTTCTCCCATTTGATAGTTTATCATTTTATTATTTTGATAATGTCCCTTTGATGCCCCAAAATATTTTTCTTTTGATGAAGTCCAATTTTTCTATTGCTATGAACTGAATTACTCCACCACCACCAAATCCGTATGTCAACACTCTAACCCCCATGGAATGGTATTTGGAGAGGGATCCTTTGGGAGAACTCAGGAGGATGGGGCCTTCATGATGGGATTAGTGCCCTTATAAGAAGAGATATCAATAAGCAGAGGTCTAGGTTCAGTCCTCAGGACTGCAGAGAAAGAGAGACAGAAGCTAAAGACCTAGCACATGTAGTTGGTTGATCGATCTCCCTCTTCTTTCTCCCGTGTATTCCTTGATACACGTGTGTGTGTGTGTGTGTGTGTGTGTGTGTGTGTGTGTGTGTGTGTGTCCTCCAGACAGGTCCTCCGTCAGGACCTCTACGTAATAAAAATCTTTATTTCTATTTCACATCTTTATCACTGATTATTAAAAAATATCCTAAATTAAAACCTCACCATTTTATATTGTCAAAACCCATAGAATACACTGATTTCTGCAGTGAATCTTAAAATAACTAATTATTTTGGATGATGTACTTTCTGAGCTGACAGGTACCTGAATACAATGTTCAAATGATTTTATCTGGATGTGGTTGTACATACCTGTAGTCCCAACACTCTGGGAGGCTGAAGCAGTAGGATCACAAGCCCAGCCTGGTCTGGGGATGTAGCTCAATGCAAAGGCCCTGGGTTCAATCCTCAATACCACAAAAATCAGACAAAACTAAATGGAATGATTGACTTTATAGGTGAGTAACTAGCCTTGTTGTACTCATGTAGCTAAAGGGAGAAATGGGACTAGGACCAAAGTATTTTCCCCTATGTCAGAAGATAATCTAAATCAATACTTTCCATTAATCGAACAGCAGCAAACTTCAGGGAATAGTATCTGTTTATTTACCGGGGTGCAGGAGCAGAAGGAGCCTGGTGTGTGAATGCGCCTTTGAATCTAGGAACTGGGCAAACACAGAGTCCTCACGCATGGGACCCAACGTCTCCTCGGGGCAGGGAGAGTAATAAACGCAAGCTGGCCCTGAGTGGTGTGGAGGCTGCAGACCCGCTGGTCCCCAGTGCTGTCTGCGGCCTGTGGCTAACTCTGACCCAAGCGCGTTCAGACCCTGATGGCGGAGGAGAGAGCAGTGGAGCACTGAGCACCGCAGCCAGAGCGATGAGGGCTGCTTCTCCCCGACAGAGCTGGGCACCTCCTGGTTGTGAGGCAAGATGACAGCAGCTGAAATAACCAAGCAGCCAAAGCAGAAAAGAGAAGAGCCAAGGAGGCCAAGCTCCAGAGCACTTGGGACCCGGACAGGGACAGCGAGCAGGACTAAGGCTGAGGCCCAGAGCTCTGGCCCAGTTCCTGCCGGGGCCTGCGGAGTCTCAGAAAACGCGGCTGTGAGCGGACCTCACTGGAAAATACCCTCTGTGTCCCAGCCTTAAAAAGTCCCTAACTCTCAACCCAGCAGCTCGCTCTCTGGAGGAAATAATTCCGAAAACAAAGATTTGGGCATAAATACGTTTATTACAGCATATTTGTACATGGGCACTTAAGTACTCACAACTGAGCAAAAGCTAAATAATGGTAAACTATGAAGCATCAACTCAAATGTTACAACGCAATGGGAGACAAGAAAAACAGGTAACTATTATATATATTGTGAAAGCTCCGTTATGTTGTTTTTAAAAATAGAAAAAAAATAGATGAATGGATGCCAAACTGTTAACAGTGGTTGCTCTTAGAATGTGAAACCATGGATTATAATTGATTTATCTTCTGCTACAAAAAAGGCTAAATTTTCTAAATTATTTTCAATTACATTTTTTAAAATTTATAGCCAGTAAAAAAAGGTTCAATTAAAAGAAAGTTATCCAGTATGACCTCAGCTGTTCCCAGTTTTGAACCTCATGAGAGCAGCTGGACCTGCTAAATAGAGGCTGAAATCCAGGTGTGGTGGCACACAGTGGTAATCCAAACACTCTGAGAGGCAAAGGCAGGAAGATCTCAAAGTCGAGCCCAGCCTGGATAACTTAGACCTTGCCTTAATTTTTTTTTGTTTTAAGGGGGTGTCCTGGAGAGATATAGCTCACTACAAAGGCCCTGGGTTCAATCCCCAGTAACCCCCAACATACACACACCCAAAATGATACAGATTGTACTCCACAAAGCTTTTTACTGTATCCCTCTAACACCAGTTGCAAGGCCCTGGATCGCTGCCTGTGCCACAGGGATAACCTGCCTGTGAAGAGGCAACCTGCAGGCACACGGCCTGGTGCTCGGTGGGATGCGCCCATCCTTCTGGACGGGGGAAGATGACAGCAGGAGCAGATGGGATAGAGGACAGAGGGACCTTCGGGGACAGGATTTGAACTCTGGGTTCCCAGCTTCAGAGGCGAAGTGGACCTGGACCCCTCTAAGTGAGGGCTCCCTTTCCCAGCAGAGGAACAGGGCTGCCCTCTCTGGATGGAACCCAGGCTCAACCCCAAAGCCATAGCCAGGTGCCTGGGGGAGATGAGGCTGCTGGAGATAAGCAGTCTTTCTGGCAATACTTCTCAGATTTTAGTGTAGTTAAGAATTACCAGGAAGCTTGTTTACACTGCTGATCCCTGCCAGAAATTCTGGTTTAATAGGTCTGAACAAGATGAAGAATACTGATTTATTATCAAGCAGCCTCCCCATTCCCAAGTGTTTTTGACCTGAAAATCTGGAAACTTTCAAATTGCAGGCAAAATAGAAATGAGGTTATTTTGTTTGGTTGGATTTCTTTTTGTTTTTGTTGTTTTGAGAAGACCCATAACTATTATCAGATTCTCAAGGAATTCTGTAAAAGTTCCATGACCCAAGAAGGTTAAAAACTGTCTTAAGCACCGGGCGTGGTGGCGCACGCCTATAATCCCAGCACTCGGGAGGCTGAGGCAGGAGGATCGCTGTGAGTTCGAGACCAGCCTGGGCTACATAGTGAGTTCCAGGTCAGTCTCAACTACATAGTGAGACCCTGTCTCAAAAAACCAAAAAAAAAAAGACTGTTTTAAGCAAAAAAGATAAAAACCAAGGCAACCTAATCCAAGCTTCAAGTCGAAAGGTTAAAACACACACGTGCACACATGCGCGCGCACGCGCACATGCACCAGAGTGGAGTGGGACCCAATGGCACAGACTCGGAATGCACAGAAGAGATTTTCACCCTAAGTCCTGGATGTTGGCAGCTTGTTTTCCTTACACATATGCACATTGGTGCAGGACCCAGGATCTAGGAGGCTCAGCCTTGGCAGAGGCCACTGGGAGAAAAGGTCAGTGGGTTTTCCTAGTCGGACAGATTCCAAGGTTTCAGAGAGAAAAGACAATGGTAAACTACTTGGGGGTCTTTCCATCCAGAGGTGAAACTGTTACAAGGCGAGATCATCAACAAGATGCAGTGGAGTAGACAAGAAACAGCGGCCTTTGAGGCAGGAGGGAGCTGGACAGAAGCGGCCATGGTGAGCCCATCCTGACCCTGGCAGTTGTGCCCACGGGGGACCAGACCCAGACCAGATGCCGTGCCGCAGCAGGGAGCCGGGCCAAGCCCACATCCGGGAGTACAATTCCACCTCACCTTGGGTGCCCCAGAGGGGGGTCTCGGAAAGGATAGCATGATCGCTCCCCTCAACCAAATCTCATCAGCTAAATTCCTCTCCCAACAGATTTCTCCCTCCTTCCCACTACTGCAGTTACCTGTGGCTGCTCCTCTCCCTGCTGCGCTTCTGGACTGCAGGCGTCCACATTACAGCTCAGGTGATGGCCTTTAAAATGTTCAGCTGTTCCCTCAGTGGCAATAGAGGAAATTTTTTAACTCTTCCTGAATCCTGTTTTTCAATAAAATATTACCCCAAAGCCATATTTAGCAGGAGTTAGAAGCAAAGCTGTTCTAGTTACAATGTGACCGTGTCCCCTCGGGTGTCCCCTGGGGACAGCCTCCTACGTGCTGTGCTGTGTGGCTGGGTCTCCCGAGCAGGGTGTAAGCTACCTGCTGGGGCCTGGCCTCCTGCAGCTATTTGTTCTCAAGCCCACCACCTTTACCAGGAACCTCAGAGCTGCATAGAAATCAAACCCAATGTGACAGTGAGTCTCCTCAGAGCCCGCACCAGCACCAGTGGGCAGCAGCTCACAGCCCAGCCTGCGGCCCTCGCGTCCCCGCACTGCTGAGGACCGGATCCCTGACTGTGACGCTTCACCCTGGCTCACGTTCCCAAGGAGGAACCATCACCCACGGGTCTCATCGCCAAATCACCATGCCTGAGCAGCACCAGATAGCTCGCATTTCAACATCCAGTGTCTCATAGAGGTCATCTTTATATCGGGATCCAGAAAAGACCCATGTGTTGAGATCATGCCTTTCTTTTAAAGCTGCAGGGCCTTTGCCAGTGCTTTCTCCTTGAACTCATTTATTAAAGGAACTGAGTCGGGTGTTTTGTGATCCTCCCCTCGTCTCACTCATTAATCTTTGTGGGGTGGTTCAACATTTCCCCCACCCTGTTTCCCATTAAATAGCTGATGGATCTTGAGCCTTGAGCAGACCCGTGCTTGAATATATTTTTCTCTTTGCAGTGTTGGGGTCAAAGCAGGGACCCCACGCTAGGCAAGCACTCCACCCCTGACCTACGCCCCCCAGGCTCAACTTCCTTACTTCCTGGGCGATTCTGCTACTTTGTGATGCTGGCAGCTGTTGACCCTCGATGCTAAGATCCATTTACTGCGGGTTGTGAGAGGATGTAGTCTACCTTGATTGCTCCTTCACCTGCTCAGTGAGATGCGTCTCCACGAAGGGCCTGCCTCGCCTGGACACCAGGAGCCGCGTTCAGTGAGCGCCTCAGTCCTTGACGCTTCGGTCTCACTCCAGCCTTTCACATCCTCACCAATGGGCCACATCTGGGGATCCTTTCAGACCAGCCCAAGTCAAGTATCCCCCGAGGAAGACTCACCTCCGTCCTGGCAGAGTTGTCTCTCTTCCAAATGTTAAAAGGCACCATTATCATGCTTACGTGGTTGATATCGTGAATTTACAGCCTCCATCCCCAGAACTGGAAATTCTCAAAAGCAGGAGATGCCTGAAGCCCTGGCATCTGAGAAGCGGCTGTGGAACAAATGTTTACAGGATGAATGAAATACTCAAGGAGCTGGGTCACATGTAAGAAAAGTTGGCTTCATTTAAGTGGCACTATGTAGAAGGCAGGCCACAGAGCCACTGGTGACGAGGTGACCATCCCTAGGACAACTCCTCTGAATCCACGGTGTCCACAGGAAGTACAGGACGTGTCAGAGTGAGTTACCAAGTCAAAGCCACAGTCAGACATCACCAGGCCGGAGAGGAGAGCCTGGGCTGACTCCTCAGAGGTGCGGAGAAGTGGGAGGAGAACCAGGCCAGCCAGCCAGGAGCCTTCCCCAGATGCAGGGTGTGGCCTGCAGGTGACAGCCAGGATTCACAGCCATCTGTGTTCCCTTTCCTATATCTGCATCCGTTCCATGCAGTGCCAGGGCATAGCAGGCTGAGGGGGGCAGGCAGATATTCTCCTATCTCTGATGAAATGTGGGTTGAGCATCCCCTGTTTTGTTCTAAGGAGAGGGAAGCATCACTGCTTTGGTGCAAAAGCAAAAGTTTATTTCTACATCTCCTTGGGAGGTCAGCAGGCGGAGGTGCCAGACAGGGCTGGGCAATGTGGCTACAAGTTCTGCTCCTCCTAACTGCAGGGTTGGGGCTCCAGACTGAGGTTCCGAATGGGAAGACGGCTCTCCCGAGGAAGTTGGCTGCCTGTTTCCCTGGTGGCCACTGAAAGTGGTCCAGAAGCAGAATGCCAGGTCTAAGTAAAACTACACAGACTACAATGCTAAAATAGGTGATCATGAGAAAATCAGGGTTGGTAGAACTGCAGGCAGGAGAGTAAAGAGCTGTCCACGATACAGTCTCATGAGAAAAACAAAGTGCAGAATATGTGTACTGTGCATAAAATCCCTCCACCAGATGCGAGTCTGTGTGGTTAAGCACATACAGAAAGATCCGGAGAGGTATGCATCAAGTGGTTAATAGGAGTTCTCTCTGAGGAGTGCCGTCAAAGGAAAGGAGGATTTTAATTCTGAATCTGCTGTATTAAACTTTGTTTTTTAAAAGTTACATGGGATCTTAAAATTTCCAAGATTTTTTTATGCTGGGGTTCGAGCCCAGGGCCTCATGCACGCTAAGCACACTCTTATCATGAAGGCCGGACTCCCGGCTTGCACGGCTCTGCCGGCAGGGGGCGCCCACTTATTGTCCCCCTGCTGGCCCTCGCCCGTGGCTCCTGGGCGCGTAGGCCGTGCTGGGCACTGCTAGGACATCAGGCTGCTCGGAGGGACGCGTCCATCCTAGGTCCCACTGCGCCCTCCAGGCCTGGTTGGAATCGCAGTGAGCCACAAGGAAAGGGACAGAAGCCACAAGGGCATAGGGGCTCCCGGGCCCGGGGGCCATGCATGGGATGTCTTCCTTTTTCCAGCCACAGGACGGAGCCGCGGTCCTAGGACCACAGATGGGAGTTTCTGACAGGCTGCGAGGTAGCACTGACAGCAACTGGAGACCATGTGAAGAGAAATGAAGAGAACCTCCAAGGAGAGGCGGCCACGAAAGGAGGAGAAGCAGGGAGAAGAGGCCGAGAGCCTCGCCAGCACAAGCCTACAGCAAGAAGGAAATGCGCGAGGGCTGCTGCGCGCCCCTCCGGTGCTGAGCCCCAGTGCGAACCAGCGGGAGAGAGGATCCAGCGCAGGGCTGAATCCACGTCCTTTCCCTCCAGATCACACCAAGTCCCAGCCCCGGACCAGACGCAGGAAAAAGGAACACACCCGGAGATGAAGCAGATCCAGCGGACCCTGCTCCACTGGGCGTCTGGTGCGTCTCCGGGAAGCTGCCCAGACCTCTTAGGAGGAGGCAAGAGGCTCTTGCGCGCCACCAGGGTCGGAGCCACCTCCGGGGCGCTGTCGTCGGCCGAATGCCCGCTGCATGCTGCCCTCCCCTCATCCCTCCACATTGCTCCCGCCCACCTTTGTCCTTTCCCTCCTCTGCTTGTATCTGTTGTCAGCGGTTATCAGTTTCAGAGTCTGCATCGGTACCTGGCTTTCAAATCTAAGATGCTGAGAATCAGTGCTCGCTCGCCCTCTCAGGGCAAAGCGCTAGTCTGGGTTCTGAGCCCGCCGTCCGGGACCACACCCCTCCCTCCAGGAAGCCTTCTGCGGGAGAGCTGCTGCCGGACAGGGTTCCCCTGCGCCTCCTCTGCCCCGCCTGGACGGAGGCCTTTTGGAAGGGGCTTGCCAAGCTCCCAGCTGGCCTCGAACTCACAGTCCTGCCTCAGCTCGGGGGCCTGGCTCGAACTCCTCTTCAGTTTCCCTAGATGTGAGCTTCCTTCAGAACGGTTTGTCCCCCCCACACACACACCCCGATACCGAAAATCAAACTGAGGATGTTGCACGTGCCAGGCCAACTCACAGCTAAATCCTGGGGCCTTCGGAATGTTAACGCCATGCAAACACTGTTTTCTTCGCTGCCAATGCTTAAGTTATCTGCCTCGGCTGTTTTCTGCAGACAACCTGTTATTTTCTAACTCCACACTTGGCTGTCCTACACCTTAACGCTCCCAGTCATTGGGACTTAATTTTTTAGTTTTTATTTGTCAGTACCACAAGCTGAACCCAGGGAGTGCTGAGCCACATCCCCAGCCCTCTTTGAGACAAGCCTGCCTCAAACTTGTCCTCTTGCCTTTGCCTCCCGGGTCACTTGGAACACAAGTGTGTGCCACCATTCTCTTTAAATGTTACATCCTATTGCTTTTCCCAAAACTCCAAATAATATAACTCTTACTCTTTTATCCACAGCTCGGTTTCTTCCCTATGTTTTCCTCGTACCAGGGATCGAACTCAGGACCTTGTGCTTCGAGGCAGATGCAGGCAACACGGAGCTAAATCCCCGGCCCTCTGTTCTTTTTCTTATTCTAGGTAATTGGAGAACTTCCAAACCAGTACCCTTTCAATTTGTCTATTTAACCCATCCATTTAATATTTCAGGCTGGGGATTTAATTCAGTGGTTCCAGAACCTGCCTCGTGAGCGCAAAGACCTGAGTTTGATCCCCAGTACCACACACACACACAAAAAAAAAATTCAAAAGGCCCCTCTAGATCAGTAGTGGTGAACTACAGCACAGGTGCTGTTTTTTAAGACAAAGATGTTAATGTCTGAGGGGTTTTTTTTTGTTTTGTTTTGGATTTTTTTATAAAAACTTCAGTATTCGGGGTTAATTGAAATGCTGGCATTTTTCAATAAATGAATTTTAGGTTACAGTTAGGGCAATTGTCTGTAAAATGTTCACAATCGCTGCTCTAGATCTTCTGGGTATTTAAAATGTTTTAGCAGGGCCGGGGATTTAGCTCAGTGGTTCCGCCACCTGCCTTCCAAGTGCAAGGTCCTGAGTTCGATCCCCATGCCAAAAAAAAAAAATCTGTTTCAGCTCACTGATGAAGTTACTTTGTTATAGGCTGACAGCTGCCAGTATCTTCAGGATGCAAAGACTGGCCTCTCCTCATTTGTCCTGTCTCTCTCTGTTGCCTCGTCTCTGTGGACTTTCGCCTGCCTCGGCCTTAGGTGTGCACTTACAAGTGTTGCTTCCAGTGTCACCTGGAGCCATGACGAGCCAAGCTCCACTTCAGATCCCCCCGTTTCTGGGTCACCAGAGTGGCCTCCTTGGCTGGGGACTCCCAGAAGGCACTCTATACCTCCTGTCCAGCTGGCTCCAAGGCTGTGGTCACTGTCTGCAGAGAGAGCTGACTGCTGCCCACCTGCACACTGAGGATGGCCTGTCATCTCCTCTTTCTCATATTCTGTGGAAGCTTCAGGCCTGCTCTTGAGTAAAGCTAGCGTTAGCAGTTTGGGATTTCAGTTTTTGCTTTAGTGTCAGGACTTGTGGGTTTCTTCTGAGGCTTCTTAGTAACAAATTAAAAGATTAATAAAGTTACTCAGCATCCTAGCTGCTTCTGATGAAAGGGCTCTTCCGAGTGTCCAATCTACCATGCCACCAAAATCAGAAGCTTGAATTAGTTCCAAATACACACCCTGCTCTCCTCTGCTCCCGCCTCCAACAACGTTGTAAAAAGAGATGCAAAGCCAAAAGAGAAGTGGGAAAAAAGTGGGCAAGCAGCAGCTGCAACGTGACCATGGCTTTCTTCTCAGGCACAAACGCCTCACGGCGATCGGACGACCTGTCTGTTAGTACTGGAGGTACGGAGGACAGCGGGACAGAAACCCCGCGTGAGCAGTGAAGTGGAGCCTGTCCCCGACAGTGAGAGACACCTGGAGAGACGAGCGCTTTGGGGGGTATCACATGCTCACGAAAACCCGTATAGCTCCCAGTTACAGCAACAGGAGTGGCACTGAACTCATCCACTCCCGGCTAACTGGCCCCGGTGACTTCATGCCACACAAAAGGAGACAATAGTTCAGGCCACAATGCGACACAGATCAAAAGGATTTTCACTGGTTTTACTGGGTCACACCCTCTACCTTTCCTCCATTCCTGTCTGCCCATAAGTGACACATCTGAGGAATTAATGACCGAAAGCTTCAAGCATCACAGCTAGACAACAGCAAAGTAGTCTGTTCTGTGAAAAACTACGAGTATGGCGCCTCTTGCTTTTGTACGTTCTTGAGGTAGGTGCGTCCTCTGGAGTCCTCTCCTCGGCTCTGGACCATGAGGTCCCTGCCCAGTGTGTGAAGCGCCCTGCACGGCCAGGCGTCCTCTGCTCAGGTGCACTGAACACAGGGCTAGCTTCCCCTTCCCCTGCGTGACTGGCCCTGTGACCTGCAGGATGCCACTCCCATCCCCTCACCACACCAAAGGCTCCACAGGCAGCGCCTCTGAACAAGCACTGCTTCCTCTGAATTCTCCTTGTGGGTTCTCAGGCCGCCTCACTCCACCCATCATGGAACAGCACCGCTGAGAGCGCACCTGGAGGCCCCGGCCCGAGCTCTGCTGTGCTATGAGGCTGTCTCTAAGCAAGTCACTGATCAGCGTCGTGGAAGTTCATTAGCTGACCCCACGCGGGGGACTCAACAAGGCTTCAGACTGCCAGGCCCTCCTGAATCAAGTGTCCGGAGGGAACGTGGGACTGTGCACGGCTCAGGACAGAACCCGGGAGTAGCTAGGAGGGAACTCTTCCAGCCCTCGGAATCCACATTTTCAACAAAGCGCCCGGGTAATTCTTTTGTACTGAGATCTGTACAGCGAGGTCTAGCTGCCCTGTAACTCCATCTACATCACATATTACAATGGACAAGATGAGGAAGAATGACCTAAGACGTCTGGTCCTCAGTTCTCACGGCGTGAAATGTTTCTGGTGCAAAGTAACTTAGTTTGGGAAGGAGTGACCAGGGGTGGTCACAGCAAGACTCGCAGCAGCCACCTCACAAATGCTCCAAGAAACATCCTGCTGCTGCCATACGGTGGTCAGCCTCATCTTTAACACATCCAGAAAAATTAATTCAGGCCCCGCAGATGTGGGAGTACATGGGCACATCTCGACAAAACCCAAAAGATTCCTAACATTGGGGTGAGTAACAGGTAGCAAGAGGCTTCAAAAGCATCACTAAATGAGCAGCAAGACACTGGAGATACACAGAACATCTCTGGGTCGTTCTGCTCAGTGCCTCATTCTAGGTGAGGGCAAACAGACGTGTTAAAGATCCTAGATCTTAGTCACACAGGTCTCACTGACTGAAATCTAGGAGAAAGGACCCATCTTCCATCCTCTAAACTTCACCTTGACAGCAGCATGCAGCATACTTACTGAATGAGATGACAAATGAACTGCTTCGGAGACATAGCTCAGTGATACAGTGCCTGCCTGGCAAGTGTGAGGCTCTGAGTTCAAATCCTGGTACCAAAAACAAAACAAATGGACCAAGCCAGGGCTGGCTAACAGAGAAGAGTAAGGTTTTTATCTAGCTCAATGCTGGTGAATGATAGAGGGTAACAGGGAAATAGCAGGTTACTGACCAGCAGAGCCAGGTTTTTCTATAGATAACAATCTCAGGTGGGACTGGCTCCCCCACTTCTCTGGAAAGCACTCTGGCTCTGTGCTAAGACTACTGGTGTCAGACATAAATCAAGTGTACAGAGGTACAGCTATAGTAGTGCTGAGTTTCCAGGTCTCGAGCACAAGGTTTCAAACCTAAATCTTAGATCAATGAACTGCAAAAAGACCACTGTCAGGAGCAGCTATGTAACTTTAATCTATAGATGTGGGCATTCCCAAAGCATTTTACATACTTCTCTGGAGGTTTTTAAGTCATATGACATAAGGGCGCCCTCAAAATAATAATATGGTCTTCCCGTAGACCATGATCCTGGCCCTGAGGAAAGGCAGCCTTGGGTAACCCAATGAGTATATGCTACACACCCCACGAAACTTGGTAGGGCACCCTTTTCTGTTCTATCCCCCAGTATGGACTCACACAGCCCCACTACACGTGGCCTGACCAGCAGTATTCTGAGCTGGTAATCTGTACGTGGGGCTTTCACCTCTACCTTTGCACATGTTAGAATGGCAGCGGGACTGGCAGCTTCTACTCAGCTCAAAGCATTAGGTCCAAGGGAGGGTCATGCACTGCAAGGCTTTTTCCATGTTAGATCTGCCAAATGCTCCATAAGAATCCCAGGGACTGAGGAAGCCAATGATTCTTTACACTTCAGTTTCCTTCTCTCTCAGTCAGCAATGAGCTCCCAGTGCTCCGCTGTGGCCACTTGTCATTTTTAAGAATCTTCAGAGGAAAACAGCATTTCATATAAAATTTAAAAGAGTGCTGCTTGATAAGAGTTGGGACTCAGCTCAAAATAAATCCACCCCGGTGTAAGCGCCTTCTGGCTGCTATGGAGAGAACAACACTGACACGTGAGCAAGTGGCCGGGGAAGAGGAGGAGGAAGTGCAGTGAAGAAATGACACAGACCTCCCACATACACACTTTAAAAACTTTATTTATATAAAAAACTCATTTGTTTTTAAAAGCATTAACAAGAGAGAAAGAAAAAAGCGAACATGGAGCAGAAGACACGCCCCGAGTAGTGTCCAGTGGGAAGGTGGGATTTTTGGTTCTCTGGAGTTGAACGTTTAGTGTTTTTATAAATGAAAATGGAAAAACAAACAGTTAAAGGTCCCCCAAAGCCCATGGCTATTCTATTACCTGCACCCCACCGAGAAAAAAGAGCACCAGGAGAGCAGAGGAGGGCAAGAGAAGCCAGGTCCGGATGGGGCTAGGGCCCCTGTGCAGTGAGCTCTGGGGTCAGGACAGCAAAAGGCTCCTTTTGGCCAGAAAGGTGGACAGGAGGGGGAAGAATGGGAGTGAAGGTAAATGAGGAACCGCAACGCCTGGGAAGGGGCCGGTGGGTGTGCACTTTTCTCCTACCCAGAGCCTCAGTATGCAAGGGAAGGGGAAGAGGGAGAAAGAATTCCAGTTGCACTGAACGGAGCTGTCAGGTTAAGAGGAGCAGAAGACAAATAAGGAAAACGGTTAAAAGAAAAACAACCAACCCATGTAGCAGCTGGTTCCTCTAGCCAGCCTGCTAATGTACAAGAGCGAGGGGCCTGGGCAGGGCCCTGGGTCCCAAGGAGCCTTCCCAGTGACGGCAGACGCCGGGCAGCTCAGGAGTCAGGGCCACGCCATGCACCCCTCCTGCCAGCCACGCTGAGACCCCTTGGGGTGAGATTTTCACAAAACCCCAACCACACACTGTCAAGAAGAGCTGGCCACAGCAGAAATCAGAGCTCCACCAACCCTACCGCAGACTCTAAGGTTCTCTAGTCACCTCTCTTCTTTCTGCTGTCGAGGGCCAATAGCGGGTAAGAAAGCAACAAAATACTTTAACTCGCAAAATCATGAGAAATGGGACTGCACAGGCAAAGAAAGGCACATGGAAGGGAGGGAGGAGACGCACCCAGGCCAAAGGCACAGAGAGGAGGCAAAGCCAGGGCGATCGCCGCCGTAGAAGGGCAGGGGACAGCAGTTATGTACATCAAAGTCCTGTCGTTGCCAACCAATCCGAGGAGGTGGGGAGGATGGGCTCAAAGGGCAGGAAAAGGAGAAATGGGGCGGGGGGAAGCCAGCTTTGAAGCTTCCTGCCAGTTTCAGACTAACCGCTTTGTGAATGTCTCTTCCAGCTCCTCCTAGAGGTTCCTCTTCTCCCCAAAGACATGTTTCGCTCCTCCCCCACCAAGTCTTCCTCAACGTTCTCCTCTTTTCACACCCTCCTGGAGATGGCCAGGCTGAGCCAGCAGATGCGTCACAGGTTGGAGAAGAGGCTCAGGAAGCCTCAGCACGGGCAGCGTCAGGCTCAGCTAAGAGATGGCGTCTGTGGTCCTTGTGGTCCCTGCCTCGGAGATGAGGAGAGCAAGGGTTTCCAATCCCAGCGCTAGACCTTCTGTTACTCAAGGGTTCTTGCCAGGTAGAATGCACCAATGCCGTCAGCCTTCTTGCTCCAAATAGCCACTGGAATAAGGAAGAATTCACACTTCCCACTCTCCAAAAGAAAATAAAGTCCCTTCCCCACCAGGAAAAATAATCTTGATTAAGAATCATCAGTGTAGCAGATTGCTGGACATTGCATTGCATATACAGAACGGAACTTCCGCTGCTCTCCATGGCTTCCGCGAAGATTCCCACTCCCACCCTCCCTCCACATGAGGCCAATTCCAGGAGAGCCTGCCAGGAGGGCTTATCTCGGCAGTCTCTCGAGATATGCATACAAGTCCGGTCCCTCGGCAGAAACCGGAGGGGCCGGGTGGGGACGGGGCAGGGCAATTAAACTTCACTGTGAGAAGTCGGGAGTCGATGGGATGAAGGCAGCCACTTGGGGCTGAAGGGCAGGAGGCAGCCTGGCAGTTGGCACAATAGTCCAGCGAAGAAAGGAAAAAATCATCAGTCCATTTCACCACCAAAAAATAAAAGTACATATAAGCCCAGATGGAGCGGAGATAGTGGTGCTAGATCTTCTGCTGCAGGGAAAAAAGAGAAAGAGGCTGTTAACAGGGTTGGGAATAAGAAGGCAAGGAAACATGTGAGCAAATGTAGAGGAAGGCAAGAAGCGAGCACATCACGCATCACGGAGAAGCAGATCACCAGCCACGCGGCCCGGCCTTGCAGAGGGAACAATCACAGAAGCAGAGCCCGGTCCACAGCCGAGACTCGCATCCCTGCCCGATCAGAGGGCTGATTGGAAACCGCTGGCACGCGGGGCCTCTCCCGGGGCGGTCCGCAAGCAGCCGGAGGACATACCATGGAGGGGTAAGACACTGGGGCCCCCTCATCATCCAAAACCAACACATCCAACTCTTCCTGCAGAGACTCCTGCCCCTCGTCCTGCCGTGAACACATGCAGGGGTTAGTGTGAACAGCGAAGAGCTGCCCGGGCAGAAGAGAGGGCGAAACATTCATCAGCAAGCGGGCACGAGAGGACGACGGCTGAGTAGCTCAGTTAGTGTTAGTGTCCGTGCCACCTTTGCACTTCCTTCCCCCAACCTGACCAATGCAGAACAATGGCCCAAGAAACCCCACCACTGCTCAAAGTCCCTACTTGCTTCCCCTGCAAACCCATACCAGAAACCCTCTCTCTGTACCTTTCCCCCATTTCATACAACACGCAGGCATCAAAACAAAAGCGATCCGAGGGGCTTTACCATCAGGGGCGTTCCCTTCAGCGGCTCCATGTCACCCAGATCCCCGCTTCGATCCAGTGTTCTGCTGTGGTCCCTCTCGTTCAGTGTAGAATAGTTGTTATCTGTGAACACAGCACACAGACACATGGCAGCCCAAGTACTGGCGCGCACTGAGTCCCAGGTGTGAACTGGCACCTCTGCTGGGGCTGAGCTCTGCCAGGGCCTCCACAAAGGCACTAAAGTCTGACAGTCCTGGGCTTCCCAGCGACTTGAAGATAGCAGGAAGAGAGCGGAAAGAAACACTCAGGGCCAACCGCGAGAGGCCAGTCTCTAAGGGGACGGAAAGTAAGAGAAGCGCGATGTGTGCTGCAGTAGGAAGGACCTGACCAAGGAAAGCAGAGCTTGACTTAAGCTTTGGGGGATGAAGAGAATTTGAAAGAGCAAATGGGAAGAGGGTCAGTCCAGAAAGAAGAAAGAGAAGACAGAGCAGCAAGCAGACCAGGAAGGCTGAGGGGTGCACACGGGTCAGACCATGGTGGGCTGGCCGCACGCGGGGCCAAGAGCACGGTTCTGCAGCAATGGGGGGGGACAAAGGTTTTCTGCGGACTCCTGAGTCAGAACGGAAGTAGATGGACCGAGTTCTACTCCACTTCCTCGCATCTGCCCAGGAAGGGGTCACCATGGCCTGGCGGGATGGCAAACGGTGAGCGTCGGGAGGGCCCTGGAGAGCCGAGCAGGGCTCCAGACCCAGGGACATGGGAGCGCACACCACGGGCGGAGGCGTCACCTACCTAGTGACTTCGTGTTTGATCCCATATTGCTCATTTGAATTTCTTCCCGGTCAGGTTTCTTATCTACAAGAAGTCAGAAAGTTATCCGGGTCAGCTCTTCACCCCCACCATCAAGGCTCTCGGCCTGTCCTGCCCTTCCTTCGCTCGAGGTTTTACTCCGCACCCACTGTGCGCCAGGCACCGAGCTCAGCTCCTCAGCTGGACCAGGACCGGCCCAGGCTTTGTGGGCCCCGTCCCATGGGTGCAGGCTGCTCAGAACCGGCAGCCTTTCATGCTCTGGGTCTCGAGGTGTCTTTCCAGTCTTACCCTGAGGAGCTGGGCGAGGATGTGGCTTAGGGACAGAGCACTCACCTGGCATGGGGACGCCTTAGGTTCAATCCCCAAAGCGGCAATTTTAAAAAACTGTGAGGATCAGAGAGCTCTCATTGGTGAGTCATACGTAATAGTGTTTTACTATACTAAGAAATTTTAAGTGTCAGTTTTGCTTGAACAATAAATTTACTACACATTTTGGTAATTTTTTGGCTTTGCCTTTGCTTTTGCTTTTGTTATTGGTTGCTGAGACAAGGCCTTGCTATGTAGTCCAGGCTAGTCTAGGGCTCACTATGATCCTCCTGTCTCAGCCTCCCAAGTCCTGGGATCACCAGGTGTGCACCACCACACCCGGATAATAAATAATACTTTAAATACAAACTATTGTCCCCAATTTTGCAAATAGCTTTAAACACTGGCTTAATCCAAGAAAGTTGGATTCTCACATCTGTCTCTGCATTCAATCTGTTGTGATGTTATTTTGGTTGCTGAATAATAAAACCCAGCCACACAGATAAAGAGAATCTGAATAGCCTTTCAGGTAACTGTGGGTACTTTTTGATAACCGATGCTCAACAGTTCCCTCCCCTGCCCTTTATGTGGAACTGGGATCAAATCTAGCGCCTCCCTCAGGATAGGCAAGTGCTAACACTGAGCTACCTTCTCCATCCCAGGGCACTTTCTTTTTCTTTTTCTTTTTTGGCGGGACTGAGGACTGAACCTGGTGTTTTCACACTATGCTACAACCCCAAACCTTTTTATTCTTTTTATTTTCAGACAAGACCTTGGTCAATTACCCAGGTGAGACTCAACTTGTGATCCCTCCTGACTTGCTGTCCCTCTGTGATGGGTTACAGGCCCGAACCACCCTTTGGGCTCCAAAGCTTAGTGGTTCTCAAAGTTGAGCAGGAATGTGAAATATGAAACCAAACAATCTCTTTGTATCCTGTAAAACTAAAATCCACTGTTGTCTTGGTGTTTAGAATGGATTGATTACCCAGGCATGTATCACAACACTGGTCAACTGCAAAATACCAGGCTGGACAGGGGGTCACACACCTGTGATCCCAGCACATTGGGAGGTTGAGGCAGGAGGATTACTGTGAGTACAAGGCCAGCCTGAACTACACATCAAGTCCCTGTCTCAAAAAATGAACAAAATCAGGACCAGCGATTTAGCTCAGTGGTTCCACCATCTGCCTTGCAAGCACAAGGTCATGAGTTCAATCCCTGATACCAAAAAACAAAATAAAACAAACAAACAAAAAAATGATAAAATACAAAAGAAAACAAATAAGAAAACTAATTCACAGAAGTATGCAGATGTTGCAGACATTAACAAATTTCATAAATTTTGTTTTTAAAAATCACATTCATTAATGTCACTACTGAATTCGAAAATCGTAAGTATTGGAAAGTTAGCAGACTCAGAGGCAGATTCAAGGTTTTCAAGATTGAGATTTTCACCTGAAAGCTGAGGCAGAAGATACCATCAGTTGTTCTGCTCAAAGCGACAGGCTCACTGCATTCACGTTTTTATTGCGCCCAAGTCCTAGTTTATTATTTTAGTTTTTTGGTATCATGGGCAACTGAAGCCAGGGCCTTCACGGCGAGAACTTCCCGGCCCTTTTTATTTGAAGACAGGGTCTCACTGAACTGGTAGGGTGCCAAGCTGGGCTCAAGTTTTCAATGCTCCTGTCTCACCCTCCCAGAGTGCCAGGATTAAAGGCACATGCCACTGAGCCTGCTCCTGGAAGTGCCAGCCAAATTCGCTGTCTGAATACTGACAGTCTGTTTTACAGTCACTTGTTCAAGTAGAACGATGTTACATGAACAGGCAGCGAGTCTAACTATGCTCCAGCAACAGCAACAACTGTTTTCCCCCATGGCAGAAATGCCTGGGGAGCGCCTCTCTCCCCTCAGTGCAGGGAGCATGAGATGCACACTCAGGGGAGAAATGTGAGGTGCTGTTAACACCAACGACCCCACAGAGCTCATCCTCAAGCAAAGGCACCTCCTCATCTCTTAGCTCAGGTTGCTAAAGAGGCTGAAGGGCTCCGGGCCTGGTCCACAGCAGTGGTACCGCCGCTGCCATCACCAGCACACAGCCCGCAGGCTCTGCAGCCACAAGGACGGGCCAGGCACAAGTCACATGACACGGGGAGGCGGGGCCATGGCACACGTGGTAAGCAAGGAAGGGAAAACCACTCACTCCCTGGGAAAATGTGTCCATTCAATGGCAAAGGTTTAAAAGCTATAACCCGGCACAGCAGTGGTTAACACTGGGTACAAGAAATAACTGGATATGTTATTTTCTAGCTGTCTATATTTTCTATTTTTAATAGTAAACACTCATTAATTGGAATTATATAAAAAGTTTAAAGGAAAAAAAAAGGAAAGCTAGAGTTCACTTTCCAGCAGAGGAATCACACACACATCCCCACCCCAAAGACTCGCTCACTCAGGGACAAACCCATACGCCCTACTTCTTAGTCAATCAGCTGACAGCCAGCGGGCCATGAGGGCCACAGCTGGCGTACCTGGCTTCTGAGTGCGGTCGATGAGGGGCAGCGTGGTGTCGTCATAGGAGTGGCTGCTCTGGCTCCGCGTAGCACTGCTGAGGTTCACCTGGGGACAAACACGGAAGCACCATCACGAGCCCTGCACTCACCCACATACTGTCTGCGCCCCTTCTCTGCATCGCTGCTTCAGAGGCCTCTCCTCTCAAGCTGGGGTCCCCTTCCTCATTTGCCATCTCCACACCCAGACCCGAGTCCCCAGCAGAAGCCCTGAGGTTTCTCTTCCCGCAAAGCCCTACGAAGGCAGCGTGGGGGTGGCACACAGCCTGGGCCTGCAGGGGCGGCAGCGCAAGCACCATCCAAGGGAGGCACAGGCCCCAGGCCGGGGCAGGCTCTCTCCCACTGTGGCACCATACAGGAGGCGGGAGAGGCCATCTCCACGGCCAGGAAAGGAGACCATGCTCCGTGACCGGAGATTTGGGAAAACAGAAAGACCCAAAGGCACAAGAAAGGCATTGTTGGGCGTCCAGCGTTACAATACCTGGAAATCTGATTTCTTCCACCCTTCCTTTTCCAGTGGCTTCCTCAGCTCCTTGTACCCCCAGATTGTCTGCAATACCAGTGCTGCTGCTCGAACTTCTTTTTCCGAGCGATTCCTTTTGAGGAAAGTAACACCACGAGAAATGTGGACATCAGACCAGAGAAGGAGCTTAGAAGCTACCCCTCTAACACTGCCAGCGGGGACAGTGGGGCGTGTCTCAATTCCAGCACTTGGGAAACTGAGGCAGGACTGCAAGTCTGACGGCAGCCTGGGCACCGTAATAAGACCCCGTCTCAAAGTAAAATTTGAAGAAACAGCCTGGAAGCCAGTTGTGGTGGCGCACAGGTGAGTGTAGCCTGCGAAATTTAGAGCCTGTCTCAAAATGAAATATAAGAAAAAGGCTGGGGACACAGCTCTGCACAAAGGTCCTGGGTTCAATCTTCAATACTGCGAAACAACCAAAATAAAGTCCACTACCAATTTATGGATCAATGCTAAGACAAACAGAGCAATACCCCGTCACACTACTGTGCGTGCAAACAAGGGAAAACAACTCCAGAGAGCTCCTTCCCGGCAGCCCCCTTTCTCCAGATCCTCCGGCTGCGATGCTGGATGCTAAGTGTGAGCTCACCCTGACTTGTTGATCAACACCAGCTTCTCAATGCCCTGTGTCTCGCGAAGCTTTTTGGCAGCCTCCAAGTTCTCGGCAATAACTTCATTGATGGTATTCAAAAGCGACACGACGGTATCCTCAGAGAAACTCCAGGAGGAGTTCTGCTGCCCTCCTGGCAGATTCTTCACCAAGTTGGGAATGGCATGTTTACCTGCAGCAGCAAGACGGAAGGAGACAGGTGAAGGGACGGGCGTGAGGAGCCACACCGCCTGCACAAACTGCCCTTGGCTGATCCAGGGCTGGCAGGTGCCAGGGAGAGGGCAGGGCTCAGCTAGGGACTCGCTTTCCTTCCTCTCTGCTCCTGTCCCTGTCACGCTAGAGCGCTCTAACACGCTGTCCTGTCCCTCCAATCCCCAATGGAAAGTGTGCTCTCTCCTGCAGTAATTCGATACAATGGGGTCATCAGGAATTTTTAAAAACCAACAACCTTTAGGAGGCTGAGGCAGGAAGTATGCTGCAAGTTCAAGGCCTGCCTGGACTACATAACAAGACCCTATCTCAAAAAATTAAAAAAAACAACAACCTGGGCTCTGCCGCTAACCAGCTATATAATCTTGGGGAAAATTACTTAACTTCTGTGACCTTCGGTTTCCTTATCCAATCAGAAAACAAAACTGACCTCTGTCAAGTGGTGGGAATCAAATAAAAACAAAGTGCACAGCAACGCCTAGTCAAAGCACGTGCCCCTAACGGGCGACTGCTATTCTGCCCCAGTCATCACCTGGTCTCTCTGAGAACCACTCCCCCACAACCACAGCCACGGAGGCCCAGGCTCCTCCCTGGGTGACTCGGAGCACCTGCCGCTGCTCGGCTCGGCTGGCTCCTTACCGATGAGCTCTTTGTTGCGAGCGTCCACCGCCAGATTCCTCAGTGCTCCCGAGGCCGCCTTCAGCACACGCTCATGCTCACTGGTCAGGAGGTCAGCTATGGCTGAGAGCGCCTTCTCTTGACGCAGGGCAGATCGGATGTAACGGCCGTACTAGGAGGAGCACATGGAGGGCGGGGGCAATGACAAAGGGCACAAAGTGAATCACCGAAGCCCCCCCATCTCCAGACCCATCTTCCAAAAGGCACTCACTGTCCAGCGCCCGGCACACAAGTTCTGAATGGCTCCGGCAGAGGCTTCCAGGATGGCAGGCGTCTTGCTCTCCTTGAGGAGTGAGATGTATATCCGGACCACCTCGGGCTGAAATAGGAGCTCATAGCCTACAGAGAGAAGGGCAGCAAGGCAGGATGCTAGGCTTAGCCTTCAGACTCGGAGACGGACGGACTCGCTTTCCTGTGCCACCAGGCCCCGCTCCACGCCCACTGAGCAGCACAGGCGAGGCCGGATTCCACACCTCAGGGTGATGCTCACCCCGCTCAGGCATCCGCTCATCACACCCAATATCTCTGCTCCCCGCTGCGCACCCGGCCTCGGCTCACTGCCGGCGGTCGTGGTCAAAAACTCCTCGTGGCAGATAATTCAACCCAGTCATTCTGTCCCAACCTTTACTAGGACTGAATAAAAGGGACCATCACACATTGAATGACATCTGAATTTATATCGTTGAGGAGCTGTAAACTTTACACTCAGCAACACAGTGAGTCCAAAGAGTCAATCTAGGACAAACAGGCTTCTACTAGTAAGGTGCAAGCCCCGGAACTGCTCTTCTCTGGCCCATCTTCCAGACCTGTGCTGTCCTCGGGTGGCCGGAAACAGCCTTAGCAAGCAGTCCTTGTGAGTCACTGCTGTAACCCTACTTTCCCGACACACCGACCATCACTTCAACCCCCACACCAGCGGGCAGCAGAGTCGCCGTTAGCCTGCCAAACACCAATACTATGTGAGTGAGGCCTTTGGAGGCTGAAAAGAAAAACCTGGCTTACCTCGAGCAGGATTGGTTCTTTTCGGGAAGTCCACCGTGTCATTTGCTGGATCCTCTGCAGGTTTTTTCCCTGCAGAAATGGGGGGGACCACATTGGAGTTTAAAAAGGAAAGATTCCATCTGGCACATTTTCATTCTTTAGGCATAATCTTTGGACCAGAGATGCACCAAAGGGGACAAAAGAAGGGACACCCCACCCCGTCCCAGCAGGGGCTATGCGAAAATGAGGACAGAAAACAGGCAGCAGGTAGGGAAAGGAGGACAACCGCTCTCGGTGCTGTTGGCCTGAGTCTGGTGAAGGGACGCGCCCAGAAGACGTGCCCTGAGCAGGCGCTCAGCAGAGCGAGCTCGTCTCGGTGGCTTCCGCAGCACAGTCCCTACATGCATCCCAGGGCAGGGTCAGGCGAGGGGATGCTGGGGATGCCCAGACCGGAACATGCGAATGAGACACAGACGAGAACCGTAAGATTCCACTCACCTCTGGAGAACCACTCGTCTTCCAGGGCGTCACCCAAAGTAGAAAGCGGAGGACAGAAACAAAGGAAGAAAAATGCAGGAGAAAGATGTCAACAGGATCGTGGGCAAAAAAGCAGGAAAGCACAGAGAAGAATGGAACAATACGGGAAACACGAAGGAGGGATGGGAAGCAGCCCCGTGAGCTGAGCTGTTGTCCCTCGGCACCCCCGACAGCCACCACTGCCACTGCTGCCACCAACGCACACAGCAGAGGAAGCAGCAGCACAACAGAAAGACCAGGCAGACCCTGCCTCGTCTGCAAGCACCCTGCACCTGAAGCTAGCTCCTTCCTCTCCCTGACCACTTTTTTTTTTTTTTGGAACTGAGGATCAAACTCGGGCTCTTGCACTTCCGAGGCAGGCGGCGAAATCACTGAGCCAAATCCCTGGCCCTGCCTGACCACGTTTAAGAGCAAGGACTGAGGAGTAACACTCACCTTTGCCCTTCTTGGCGCCAAAGCAGCTGGCCGCGTGGGGCCCCGCATTGTTGGCAACAGCGGGTGGCGCCTCCTGGTAGCGCTCGGCCTGTGGGATCTCCCGGTGAACCTGATAGGACAAGTTCCGCAGGAGGCACACGCAGTTCTCCACGAGCTTGGGGCACAAGACAAAGGCCCGATGAGAGAAGAGGTTGTCTATGGTCATTTCCCAACAAGGACAAGTTTCCACAGTTCAGGTATCAGAATGTCCATCCTCAAAGCCAGGCATGGTGGTGCACGCCTGCAGTCCCACCACTCAGGAGGCTGAGGCAGGAGAATCTCTGGGAGTTTGAGGCCAGCCTGGGCTACACAGTGAGTTCAAGGCTGGCCTGAATTAAACACTGTAAGTCTTTGTCTCAATAAAGCAAACCAAACCAAAGTCCATCTTCACAGGCACAGCCCAAGCCATCCTCTGAGGACAGCTCCTCTTCATGCCCCAGGCTCCTCAGCATCCTTGCATCTTCCGGCCAGTGGGAGGCCCAAGCATGGGCTTGCTGCTTCTACCACTATTTGGTACGTAACCCCAAACTCAAGTTTTGGTTTTCCTACTTAAAAAACACAGTCTGGGAAGACTGCCGGGCAGCTGTGAGGAATGTGCAGGAACTATTCCCTCGTAAGCAGAACACCCACTGAGCAGGAAGGGGCAGGAGGTCGGTCTGCACGGCAGGTACCCAGGTGCAGCAACTCACCTTGCTGTCGGAATCCTTCTGTCCAATCTCAGCCTGGACAATGAAAATGAGGGCGTCGACCAGACCATCACATTCCCGAAGCTTCCTGCGGGCTTCGCTCCTCTCTGAGCTTACGTTCCTGAGGGGAGACCAGGAGACGCTTGAGGTGAGCCCAGGCCAGCAGTCCTCCCAAAACATCCCTCACCATCTCCCACCTTCCTCGAGGCCTTGCTGCTCCCGTGGCGAGGGATGACTGTCTACGGGGAGCACTGCAGTCGAGGGGCAGGACAGAGTCTCTGCCTTCCCGATGTCTATAACCCCGTGGGCCAACCCAGTGACCCCAGAGAGAACAGACCCTTCTCGTGCAGGACACAGATACAGAAGAGGCAGAGTCTGACGGAAACACGGGTGACTGAGGACAGACACATGTAGGTGTGAGGTTTCCCCGATTTCTGAGGTTCCAACAGACTTCCCAGACGGGACGAACAAAGCCAGACATAAGCAAGGACAACGCATGGGGACAGCGACGCCCCAGGGGCGGGTAAGTGCGGCACACACGCAGCGGCAGCAGCACAGAGGGACAGGCCGGAGTAACGGGCTAAAGGGTCTGACTGCTTTCTAAAGAAACCGTGCAAGTCCTCAGAAGCTGATGCCGCCCCCCAGCCCCGTCACCTCAGGCAGCCAGCAGTGTTGGTGAGCACTGACTCCCACTCCATGTGGCGCGGTTTACAGTCCTCACTCGGCTCCCTCTCCCAGCCGGAGTGTGGGATGACCACTTCGTCCGTCAGGGCGTGTAGCGCGCGGTCCACGATCTCCATCTTGATCGAGTCATGGGACGACAGGTTCCACAGGGTTCCTGGCAGAGACAACGGTCAGAGAATCCCCTGCTCCTGTGACGGCGAATGTGCTACGGCTCTCACCGCTAACCAACAGCCCGCTGCGGCACGCGTGCACCCTGAGCGTGCCACCACTGCCCTGCCCCACGCTTCTTGGTCCCCCCCTCAGGGACCAGGTACTTTGTGGTGACATTCAAGCTTTTGTCTGTGACCCATGGAAAGAGGCACATCTTACACTACAGCTCAAGACAAGCACACGGGGAAGACAGTGTCACCACACCGGACCATGTGCGGCGCTGGCAGATCTACCAGTCTCCCCACCTCGTAACCGCGGCGGGGTGGGTGCTTATCAAGGACCTGCTTCATGCAGTGGCATCCGATAGCATGCTCTCCCCCACTCCAACTGTAACAACCAAAATGTCTCCAACAGCAAATGTCCCAGGGCAGGAAAAACCTCCCCCACTTCAGATCCCACGGATTATACTACTGCTTGTTCTCTTTTTCTCAGAATGGTGTTTCTGACCCATAAAATTATATTCAACTCTCTCTAATGGATCTCAGCCCACAATCTGAAAAACCACCATTCGAAATGAGGGAAAGATCACAAGCTCCAATGTCTATTTAAAAGAAATGACAAGGCCGGGGAAAAGAGGCTGACACTCAGCATCCATAGCAAGACACCTTGCTTATGACCGCAACTGGTCAGCATAAGCAGGATGTCAGAGAAGGCTGTGAGCTGGAGAGCACCGCCCATGGTCGGCTCAGACCAACAGTGCCACCAAGGAAAGAGCTGCCCTCACCAGCTCTTGGGTTTGTTTGTTTGTTTGTTTGTTTTTGGTACCAGGGATCAAACTCGGGTCCTTGAGCTTGTGAGGCAGGAGGTGGAACCACTGAGCTAAATCCCCAGCCCTAGCTCTTCTGTTTTTAAGAGAAACCAGGCACCTAAAATTTCAGGTAATAGCTTCTGAAATCTATACATCAGCAACCAACTCCTTAAAATTTTTTTAATCCGCAGTACTGTGAAAAACAAGCAGTTCTTCAGGATTTGACCCAATGGCCACCCATTCAGAGACTATGACCAAAAAAAAAAAAGGCAAAGGACTGAAAATGCCTCTGGTTCTCAGCTGCTCCAGGGTGAATGAACCCAGCCTAGTCACGACTCCTCTGACCTGGAACTCACCAGTAATGACTTCGGTAAGGTCCATGTCACGAGCTTTTCGCAGCAGCCGCACAAGGGCAGGAACACCATCACAGTTTTTTATGGCAATCTTGTTATCTTGGTCCCGTCCAAAAGAGATATTCTTGAGAGCCCCGCAGGCTCCGAGGTGCACCTCCTTTTTGGGGTGGTCTAGCAATCCCACCAGCACCGGGATGCCCTTGAGCTTCCGCACGTCAGTCTTCACCTTGTCATTGCGGTAGCACAGGTGCTGCAGGTAGGCAGCCGCGTTGGACTTGACGGCGTCCAGGCGGAAGCCCAGCATGGCGATCACCTCTGGCAGCTCGGGCTGCCTCCAGTTCGGAGGCTGGGGCCCTCCCTTGCGCAGGCTGTCCAGGCTTGCTAGGCTCCCTCGCTCGTGCTGGGCCAGGGGAGCCCAGTAGTACTGATCCGACGGCACCTCCTCACCAATCATGTCTTCATAGCTCCTGCAAAGGTTGGGGAAACCAAGAGAAAAGACTGCTACGTCAAGCAGTTGTCCAGCTTACCGGCCCCAGTCTGAGTTCATCTGCAGGGTAAACCAAGACCAGACACGGATCTTATCTCTCACTTGCATGAAGGACACTCTGATCAATTCTAGTAATTTTCAAGGCACTTACAATTGGATTAAAACTACTTTTTTTCCCCCTGTGAAGTTTGCTGGCTCAGAAAGTAACAATTGGAAAATCCAACCATCAAGGAACTAAATCTTGATTACCTGGCATTTATTTAAATGATACGTGATAGCTGCTAACTTCTCTGTGTAGAGATTAAAATAAACCCTAAGACAGCAGAGCTAATCAAAGCAACTGACTCAATGTGACAGAAGTCAGCAAACAAAGCCAGAGAACAATTCTTGTAAGACTAGCTAAACAGGAAATGAGGCACTGATGTACAGGAAACAGCTGGTGGAATAAAATCCTGGAACACACTTCATATTTAAGCTTCTCCTTACCCCACTTTAGATGTTATAAAAAATGGGGCTGCTAGAGACAACCAGAAAAGCGCTTCTTACATCACATGAAGACCTGTCTTTCCTACCAATTGGGCATAAGATAAGCTTCAACATCGATTCTCAGAGTTCACCCCAGTGTCACTAAGCCACTCAACAAATATGTGTGAGGTATGACTTCCACCTCCATTCCTAAATACCTCCCACTCTGCTGAAGTGACAGCCAGTGACGACATCACAAGAGGGAACAAGACAAAGTAACTGAAGTAAATAAAGAGAAGTCAGACACGGGGACGATTCCTGTTTCAATACCAACAACCACCACTAGAGGGTGAGTGGGTCACACTACTACCTATTCACAGCTGCCCAGAAGGAAAGGACCCACCATCAGTGAGCTCATCTCCCTCCAGGCTCTCAGAGTGGGCATCTATTGTGTGCAACTCTCCAAATAAAACCGGTGTTTGTTCCACACAGCCACTCCCACTGCCACTGCACTCAAGGCTGGCCAAAGCAGAGCTACCCAGGTGCCAGCGGGCACCCCCGTGACTCAGAGGGACAAAACCACCAAGACCCTTACAAAATACAGGCATTGCAGAGCTAAGTTTTAAATCGGACTGGGGGAAAACAGGGCACGTTTGCATTATATAGAAAAAAGAACTCAAAAGCTATGTGCCAGAACGCTAAGCAGTGGTTCTGTTTATGTGAATGGTGTGCTCGTCTGATATTTTCAAGCTCTGTTGAACATATCTTACCTTGTTATTATTTTAAGCAATTATTTAAAAATTGCCATAATCAAATTTCAGTCACTCAGAGAAATCTCTGTTCTTTTCCCTCGTGAATAGCCAGAGAATCAAGATCTTTTTGACAAAAACAATGCTGGGCCTAGAAAGACCACACGACTGGTCTGAGTGACACGGCAAGGGGCGGGGCACCCCAAGACCCAAGGTTCCCCTGACCCTGCCTTCCTGATGTGACCTATGCTCCTCTCTCTGCCCCCAAACCAGCCAGTGTTCTCGCCAGTCAGGCAGGTCTACCAACCCAGCACTGCCCTGGAACCAAGTGACCGGCCAGGAACAGCACCTACCTGGGCACTCACTCTGCTCCAGGAGGAAGTCAGGACAAGCCACAGCCAACGCCCAGGGCAGACAGCAGCTCCAAGGTGATAACTGCTATCTCGGAGCTCTGGGCGGCACCAGCAGGGTCTGGGCCCCGCACCCTCCGTGAATGAGCATGAGTCAGCTGGGCACTGACCCTGACACCCCAAAGGTAAGCAGCTCAGCCTGAGATTATGGAGCCCCACCCGGCCCAGGCCAGCCCAGCTCTGTCCAGGTCAAGAAACTACAGAACAGATGAGAGAAAGAGGCAGTGAGGCACCTGCTTCAGAAGGCCATGGCCACATGCAGAAACCAGCAACAGCTGCCTGGGACCTCACCGCCTCACAGTCAGACATCAGGCCGTAGTCCACAACCACAAATCCTCCCCACTTCATTATTTCTCTCTGCCTGGAGAACACGCTCTGATTTGAAAGTAGGGTCTGCAGCCCACGGGCTAAACCTGTTTTTGTACAGTCCCAGAATTACAAAATACTTGGAAAAGGTTGTTTTAGCTGGTGTGGTGGCACACATGTGAAATCCCAGCTACCTGGGAGGCTGAAGCAGGAAAACACAAGTTAGAGGTCAGCCGGGGGCAATTTAGCGAAAAGCTGCCTAAGTAGCTAGATTACAGGCAAGCACCACTGCACTCAAATGCAAGGCTGTGTGAAAAAGGCGCCACAGCAGGGTGTGGTGGTGCACACCTACAACCCCACATTCAGGAGACTGAGGCAGGAGGAGTTCAAGGCTAGCCTGAACTACATACACAGTGGGACCCTATCTCAAAAACAAAACTAAAAACAATCAAAAAGCAACACTAATAAAAACCGAAGAACAAGGCCCTTAAAGACAAGGATGACAAATGGCCTTCAGAGCCCCAAGCATGTCCTGAGGGCAAGGCCTGGATCCACAAGAAAGTCTTCCCCAGGCAAAGTCTCCCGGCCGACATCCATCACCCCACCTGCACCCAGCACAGCACAGCCAAAGCCACGCAATGTCAGAGTGGCACTGAGGCCTCACCAAGGAGGCACACACGCTGGGCGGGGCTGCCCTGAAGGCCCCACACGCCAGCTGCCAGCACCAAACCAGAAGCTTGGAGGTTCCCAGGATGCAGCAGCGAGTGCGGGCCAGCATCCCCAAAACCAGGGCAGGAAGCAAAATGCACCTCTGAGGCCAGACCACAGGTGCGACACTCAGGGAGGGAAGGAAAACAGGCTGGCCTCTCCCCGGGGGAGGGAGCCTTGGGTGCCTGAGCCCGCAGAGCCCCCAGAAGGAGGAGGAGAGCGAGAGACCCTACGTGGCAGGGCCCCTCTTGCCTACCTGAGGCGGCGGCGAGGGTCGGAGGGAGTCCCGGTGCGGCGGGCTGTGCCATAGTCAGACATCAGGCCGTAGTCCAAGTCGTCGTAGCCCACGCTGCGCTGGTCGTCCTCCAGCCCATAGGGCTCCGGATGGAAGCGGTGCAGATCCACACTGCTCCCGCCCACGCGCACCTGGGGCTGGGGGCCGTACACGTCCTGCCGGCTGGGGGCCCGGTAGCCCTCCATGCTGGGCCGGTAGCGCTCCTCGAGGCGGGTCACCCGGGACAGGCTGCCGTAGCTGTCCGGGGCCCCCGGGTAGCTGTCTTCGTAGTGGCGACTGTACCCATCGGGAGGGTAATGGAAGTTCCGAGGGAGGGTGGCGGTGCCCGCCTGCCCCACGTAGGGACCCGGCCCCCCGTTGCCGTTCTTGCGGAAGTCACGGCCCAAAGTCTGGATGTAATTGTTAGAAGCTGCTGAGGCATCCATGGGCAGCCCGTCTGGCCCCACAGGGACCGGCTGCACCGTCCGGGTTGTCACGGTCTTCACGACCTTCTTCACCTTCGTGAAGGAGAGGAGCCGGTTAACGGACCGCCGAGGAGTGGGCGGCGCAACTCTGCAGCCTGTGGAGGACCATGCCTCTCCCCTCCCAGTTCCCTCGGAGATGGCACCACCTGGCACCCGCCCGCGAGAAGCGCGCCGGGCAGCTCACCGTGGTCTCTGTGCGGCGCGTGGTCCCGTCGTCTGAGGTCTCCACAGAGACCACCGACACGGCTCCCTCGGGGTCCTCCTCCGTGTAGGTCTCCACAATCTGCCCTGGCTCCTGCATCCTGGGGATGGTGCTGTACAGAAGCTGGCTGTGGTCCTGCCAGGAGAGACGGCGAGAAGAAGCGGCACTGAGCCCCGCAGAGCAGCAACCCGTCCCGGGCAAAGCCCAGGCGAGCCGGCAGACGGGGCTTCCGTGCGTGTCTGCTTTCTTCTGGGCAGTACAGGGCCTTCGCACAGAGCTACCTCTCACGCCTTTCTTATTTTTTGAGACAGGGCCTCGCTAAATTGCTAAGTTGCCTGGGCTGGGCTCGAGCTCCCGCCTCAGGCTCCCAGTGAGCTAGGATGACAGGCACAGGCAGCACCCCCGGCTCACACTCAGGATTTTTAGAGGAGGTGCCTGCCATCTTTGGCCATCTTTGGGGCTTACACAGAAGGAGAGCAAATGAAATCTGCAAATTCTAATCATTTGACAAACACGAGCAAGTTCAGTACAGCCAGTCAACACCCAAGCCACAGAGACAGCAGATGTGACCCCCAGGTCTTGGCATCTGAGTGAGAAAGAACTGTGTCCACTGTATAACCTGCCTCCAAGTGACCCTCGAACAGAGCTGCCCACCCCTTCCAACACGGTAAGAGGACCAGAAAAGCCCCAAAGAGCCCCCTTCTGGCTGGGTCTTAGGTTACTCTCCCTGTACTGCCTAAAGCTCAAGACCGGCCAGATTTTAGGTAGGAATTTTTGCAAAGTAGAATGACGCCCTCCCTAAAACAGCAAAATAGAACCCAAGGAGGCAGGGTAGCAATCTCAGAACGCAACTACCTGCACACTCGGAGCCCTATCCCTACCTCCCTACAGGAAAGAAACTAAAGAATGGGTGTCCACAGGGTGCCAGGTGCTCTGCGGCCGCCATGTGCCCTCCCAGGCAGGGCTGGGAGTAAAAAGATGCGAACACAGCAGCCCAGGCCTGAGCTAGAAGAATTACCTGGGGTCCGTTGGGTTTCAGATCTGACAGTTTCTGTCTCTCAAGGTCAGCATCGCCCACAAACCGGCCGTTCTGAAACATAGCCCACAGAAGACAATTCATTCTCGTGGCCTCCTCTGCTCTAGTGACCCACCGTCTGGTTTCCAGAGAGGAGGAGGGCTCCAGAAGACACTTGTGGCCTGAAGTCACAAAGGAGTCCATCAGCCCTGGTCTCAGTCACTCCCCTCACACCTGCAAGCAGGCCTCAGTTCTGGAAGACCAGGTTTCAGGAACCCAAAAACACAAGTGCCACAAGGGCAATCAGAGGCTCTGGCCAGTTCGGTGAAGGATACTCTCATCCCCTAAGCAGTGCCCGGCACAGGACAGGCATTCAAACTATTTGCTAGCTGGACATGGTGCTCCATGCCTGTGGTTCTAGCACTCAAGAGGCTGAAGCAGGAGGATCCCAAATTCAAACCCAGCCTGTCAAAAAAAAAAAAAAATGAAGGGCCAGGGTTTAGCTCAGTGGCACTGCGCCTGCCTTGCAAGCACAAGGTCCTAAGTTCAATCACCGGTACCAAAAAAAAAAAAAAAGAAGAAGAAGAAGAAGAAGAAGAAAGAAAGAAAACTATTTGCTAGCAGAGATAAATAGCAGAGACTCAGATAACCCTGCCTACAAACAACCTTTTTGGAAAACCCTATCACTCTAAGGAAAGTTGGGAAGCCTAAATCAGGGGGTTTCCGAGAACCTTCTTACTGTTCATGAGTCTTCATGCTCTGCTCCCAGTGGAAACTCCCATTTTTACAGAAAGCAACAGATAAAAGAATCCCTTTCCAAACATGAAGAATAAGGTACCCAAACTGCCAGCAAGAGAGGTCTCCATGTTCTTATCACTGAAGATTACAGCACAGAACACCTCTGAAAGTCCTCAGCGGCAGGAAGGAGCTGAAAGACCCTGCGTGAAAACAAACTCCCTGCTCTGCTTCCAACGAGGCCCAGCCGTGGAGTCTTCTCCAGCCCATCCCCTTCACACAGGGCATGCCAAGGGAGGGGAAGTTCAGGATCACTTTCAGGAAGAGGAAGGGTGTGGTTTCACCACTAAACAGAAGTTAAAAATAAGAGCACCAGAGAAACCATGAACTAAACCCTGGAATTCCCCACCAGCTCCAGCCTGAGCAGCCCACTCTCCTTTCCAGTGTGCACTGACACAACACATCCCTAAGCCTCTGTCTAGTACCTATAAAAACACATGGGACACTGCAAATACACAGCATCCTTCCAATGTGTGATTACCTCCAAGTGGAATTCTGTCCTCTCACCTAGCTACAAGACTCCTCAGCATGAGGGACCTTCAAAAATTTGCATAAGTAATACCAGCTGCTTGAGGGGCTGAGGTAGAAGGACTCCAAATTCTAATCTACCCTGGGCAATTTAGCCAGCTCCTGTCTCAAAATGTACAATCTTTTTGCTGGGTGTGGTGGCACACACCTATGATCCCAGCACTCTGGAGGATGAGGCAGGAGGATCACTTCAAATTCAAGGCCAGCCTGAGCTACGGAGAGCCCAAGGCCAACCTACACTACATAATGTCTCAAAAATAAATATTTTTTAAAAAATTTTTAAATGAGCCAGGCATGGTGGCACACGCCTGTAATCCCAGCACTCAGGAGGCTGAGGCAGGAAGGATCGCTGTGAGTTCAAGACCAGCCTGGGCTACATAGCGAGTTACAGGTCAGTCTCAACTACATAGTGAGACCCTGTCTCAAAAAAACAAAAAAAAAAATTTTTTTTTTTAAATGAACAGGGTTGTAGCTCAGTGCAAAGGCCCTGGATTCCATCCCCAGTAACAAAAAACAAACAACAAAAAATACAAGCACCATTCAGGTTCCAGCCCAGAGATCTCTACAGATATGTCTATCAAACAATACCCAATACACAGACACGGTCCAACACGCACTCACAGACAGGCGCGCTCACACTCACACAAAACCTCAGACAGATTACATCACAGCGAGGGCAGGTGAGATGAACCACAGGAACCAGCGACTTCTCTCCTAACACCAGCTCTCCCGAGTCGCCAGGCTAACCAGCAGGATGGTGCTCTCAATTCTACCCAACAGAGTGGAGGAGGAGCCCTTCCTCCAACACAGGGTGTGCACAGCCAGCAAGAAGGAACCCGACAGGACGCGGTACAGTGGAGCGCGTGGGGCTGGTCGGCTTGGCCAGGACTCTCCCTCCTCAGCCAGAAGTGGGCCTTCACCTGCCCGAAATTCTGGTGCCAAGTATCGTGATGGAGTACGGCCCCAAACTGCAGACCTTCCGAACATACATCCCTCCAGCCAGCAGCACAGGCATCCGGCCGCTCCGGCGCTCATCTCAGGGCGGTCACCGCTCGCTCTCGGGAGGCTCATGGGGCGCCCGAGCCTCAGGCCGGGCAGGAGCCCCAAAGAGGGCGCAGCCTCTCGGGGAGCCCGCCGCAGGGAGTTACCTGATGCCGGCGGGTGAGGGTGCCGTTGGCCAAGAGAGGGCTGGCATCTTGCGGCGAGACCCGGACGCGCTCCAGCTGCGCCGAGACGTGGCGCCGCTCCTCCTCCAGCGCCCGGGTCAGCTTCTCGAACTGGGCCTCCTGCTCCTTCACGGAGGCCAGGATGCTGGCGGTCGACTCCACCTCCGCGTCCTCCATGCAGGTAAGGGGCGGAGCCGCCGCAGGGCAGGGTAAGAGGAAGGTGGCAGGGGGGAGAGGGAGAAGGCCCCTCACTTCGCACTATCGCTATGGGGGGGCAGGGGAGGAGAGAAAAGGGCACAGGTCAGAGAAGACAGGGGCACCGCCTGAGCCTAGCCCAAGAGGCCCACAAGCAAGCCGCCACCAAGCCCAGAGCCCACCACCAGCGACCGCACAGGCAGCCGTGCCCACAGCCCAGAGACGGGGACCAGGAAACGTGCAGTTGAGCCCCAGGCAGCAGAGGGAGCGGCCAGAATGAGGCCTGAACTCAGGTCTCCTGCCCTGAAGCGAGCTGGCATCCACAAGCCTGAGACCAGCACTCCCTGTGCTGGGGGTCAGGCCGCCTGGGGTCCACCGGGTATAGACTGTCCTTCGTGTCCCCCAAGTCTGAACGCTGAGACTGTCTGCCACAGTAGTGACAGAGTACACTAAGTTAATGGGCAAGAAAGAAATGCTGAGCCAGGCATTATGGCCCAGGCTGTAAGCCCAGTACTCTGGGAGGCTGAGGCAGGAGAACTGCCAATTTGAGCTCAGCCTTGGCAGTTGAGCGACCTAAGAAGACCCTGTATCACAAGAAAAATTAGACAAAGGGGATGTAGCTCAGCACATGTAGCTCACGGGGTTTAATCCCCACTAGTAAATTAATGAATGAATGAATGAATGGAAAATATTAGCTAGGCATGGTCACACATAATTATTGATCCCGAGCATGAGGAGCTCATGCTCAAGTCTGGCCTGCAAAATTTAGTGAAACCCTGTCTCAAAATAAAAACAGAAGAGCTGGGAGTGCGGCTCAGTGGTAGAGCACCTTTAGGTCTATCCCTAGTACTAAAAACCAAAGTAAGATTTTAGAACTTCTACCACCAAAGGTGGGAAGGCAAAACTAAGGTTTCCTTAATACATGTACAAAAGGGTCATTCTGCCTCCCACAACTACACTACAGTGGCAAGGACAAACGTGTGCCTGCCTCCCTGGGACAACAGAAACCGAAACACTGTGTAAACAGGTCCCACGGCCTCTTTGGGAGCAGGAAAAAGAGCACCGGGCTCAAACTCCAGGACTGTACACCTTGGAGGGCTCAGATCCTAACCTCTGATGGCTAGAACTTCCCACAGAAAGTCTGAGCAAAGCCCTTCACCCCCATTTGTCCCAACTCAATGAATAACCGCGTACCAAGGGCGCGTGTGTGTGCTGGTGTAACAAACAGTAGCCGGTGCACGCATCAGCCTCGACTGAGCGAGTGAAGCGACACTCTAGCCACACACGGACTTGGGGGTCTTCTCCTGTGTAAGCTACAGGAGGGGCCACGCCCGTCCAAAGTGTGTACTGGGGAGAGGCAGGCTGGGGACAGGACCTCCCCTGCTCCCCGCCCTCTCACCAACCCCTAAGGAAAAGCACTTAAAATACTTGCACTCTTAGTAAATAGACTTCCATACACACCTGTTCAGAGAGGGGCCGTAACAGATGGGTCTAACACAGAGAACAGCCCAGGCTAGATTCAAACAGACCATGGAAGAAGCATCCCAGCACCACAGCAAGGATGAAGCAGAGGAGAGAGCTTGCAGAAATATCTGGAGGAAAATTGAGAATGAGAGGAAAATAAAATACACCCAGTGCATGAACCCAAGAGAGCGAGAGGTGTCGGGAATGAAAAGGGCAACGGAGAACAGGCGTGGGCTTGCTCAATACAACGTGGGCCCCTCGGCCCTGCTGCACCGGGACACAGGATCCAAATGTCACAGCACAGTGCTCGGCCCTGCTGCCCTGCAGAACCAGGGTTAGCTCACGAGGTGCACAGAAACCCACCGGGCCCTGCTGCAGAGGGCAGGGGGAAACCTCAGCTAGAAAGCCCTTCCCCTCCTTCCCGCCCCGGGGCAGAAACCTCCAAAGCCCAGTCCCAGCATGCCCGCTAAGACACTGGGAAAGAGCCGGCAGCGTGGAGGGACAAGCGAGGACTAGCTCAGGCTGGCCTTCCACTCAGGTCCCCGTTCCCACGATCTGCAGCCCCACCAGGCACAGAGGCCTGGGCCGTCCGTGTCCCAGATGCCGCGTTCCGCAGCAAGAGCGCCCATGGAGACTGGAGAGCGGATCTAGGGAGCTGTGCAGGCGGCCAGCCCCTGACCCCGGCCACACAGGCCTCCCACATCCCCTGCCCAGCGTGCTGGGCACTCTGGGCTCCTGTAACCACCGAGCGACCTGTTCTTTCAGTCCAAGGTCCACTGCCCATCCCACATATTCCCACTCTTTATTCCAACAGGCCATCCAATCAAGGCCTTTCTTTAATAAGCGCCCTATTTTTCAAAAGTGCTCCCCTTCATCTCTACCTCCCGTCACGCGCTTGCCCTTATCCGCTAGGTACCACGACCTGTGACCTCCCACACACGAGATTCTCCGTGACAATCGAACAGGGCCTGCACTACATTCACGGCTCAGCCTCCACCCCGCAAGCCGCCTGTTCATCAAAGCCCAGACAGCCACCCCCAGGACACACAGCATCCTAACCCCAACCTAACTCCACAGAGTGAAAGGACAGGAAGGGACTACCCAGGCCTCTGGGCCCAGAGCAGTGTCTGCAGAAACACCACCCCCATCTGGGGAAGGACCCCGAGGCCAGGCAGGGGAGAGCACAGTCACAAGCGCCCAGGAACCCCGCCACAGCCAGGCCCAGGCTGCAGTCCAGGCAGTATCACCGACCCATCTACTCTGCTGAGTGAAGACAGGGAGACACATAGCTGAGGTCGGCAGTTGTTTCAGAGTTGGTTTCTATCTTCCAATTACATTACTTCACAGTGATGTGTCAGCCTCAAAATATTTGGTGAAGTAGTGATGAGATTACCTGGATCAAGAACCGAAGTGGGCTCCAGGGAGTAGGGGGCTGGCCTCCCCACCCGGGTGCATTTACCAGCAGGTCCCACCTGGAACGGCATCTGGAGCAGAGGGTGCTGCTCCCCGGGGCCAGGTCCCCACGGGGCTTTCCTCCCTGTCGTGACCAGGGCAAAGGGGATGCAAGAAGAGCCATCAGACACAGCAGCCTGGCCATGCTCTCAAGGGAGAAAGACTCGCAGTGAAGCAACAACCCAAGGTGTTTCCTAATGGTCAGTTTTTTAGCAGTACAGGGGATTGAACCTAGACCTTCACACTGAGCTACATCCCCAGTTTTTTAATTTTTATCAGTACACAATGGCAATATGTAATGATTACAAAGGATATTGGTACATGTACATGTACACATAATTCTTTTCACGTCTCCTTCTCTCCCTCCCCATCTTTGAAACAGGGTCTTGCGAAGTTGTTAAATTGCCCAGGCTGGACTCAAACTTGCGATCCTTCCGCCTCAGCCTCCCAGAGTGCTGGGACTACAGATAGGCACCACTAGGCCCAGGTGGAAATTATGAATTCAAACCTTAGTCTAACCCATTCCAAAGCCTGCAGTCTACCAGTCCAAATAAAGGGGCAAGAAGAGATGACAGGCCTGCCCCTGGCCCCAACAACCTCTAGGAGCTTTCTTCACCATGCTCCTAGGTGAAGCATGAGGGGAAAAGGAGAGTGCGGAGGGGAGGAGGATGAAGCCGTCAGACCACTTCCGCCAACTGTCCCACAGCTGAGTGTGAGGCTCCCTTCCAGACACATCCTGGAATCTACAGCCGTTACCGACTCTGGGAAGCAGGGTAGGCAAAGCCCTATGAGTTCGTCGCTTATTGTTTTCAAGTCATACACTTGCTCTCCACCTTTCCGGGAAGAGCTGCTTTACCTTTTACCAAGCCACAGGAGCTGTGTTACTGGAGCCTGCTGTTGCCTGCATCTATGGCAAGGTCCCTCATTCCAACAATGACTGCTGATTTCTACCCCTCATCAGAACTCCAAACCAAAGCAAGTGACGATGATACAAGTGTCTGGAGAACCATACAACAAAAAACAAAACAACAGTTACCAGCGGGGAGGCTCCCACTTGTGATCCCAGCGCTCAGGAGGCTGAGGCAGGAGAACTGCCACCTCCAAGCCAGCCTGGGTTACAAAGGGAGTTCAAGCCCAGCCCAAACTACACAGCAAGACCAAGTCTCAACCCTTCACCAAAAAAAGGTCACCAATAGCATGGTCCCTAGAATGATTTGCCATACTATAAACTGGCGGAAATGTAATTCAGAATTATGATTCTAAAAGGCTAAGCATACAAGTTTTGAAGCATACACAGTAACTCATGCCTGTAATCCCTGCCACTTGGGAGGCTGAAGCAGGAGGATCAAGAGACTGACACATCAGCAATTTAGCAAGGCCCTGGTTTAAAAAAAACCTAAAAGCCAGACTTAGTGGGTCACACCTGTATCCCAGCACAAAAGAGCCTGAGGCAGGAGGATCACCATGAATTTGAGGCTGTCCTGAGCTATATAGTGAGTTCAAGACCAGCCTGGAATATATAGCAAGACTGCCTCAAAAAATAAAATACAACACAGCACTTGTACCACGATAGACTTCAGGACACAACATTCAAGCCAGAAAGTCAAAGTCCCTTATTCCTCTCCAATCACAAACCCAAAGGCAGAAAACTGCCTTTTGTTTTCTAAATCAAAACAATGAATATATAATAAATATTATTTTTCTTTTTCTGTCACAGGGTCTTGCTATGTAGCTAAGGCTGGCCTTGAAGTCATGGTGATCCTCCTGCCTCAGCCTCCTGAGTTCTGGGATTATCACACTCAGCTCCAAAGGAATATATTTTGTCAACAGGGCTTCTGTGGCTCCTGGCAGAAAGAGGGCTAGGGCTGGAGTCCAAGGTCTGAGCACCCTGTGTTCCCAGCTGCAGTTCTGCTGCCCTCTTTGAAGCCAGGTCAGCTCCAGACCTCCTCACTTCTCTGGGAGACAGACACACTTCCTGGCGACCTGGGTCAGAGCCGGGCGCCCTGGCCACCCCTGCAGGCCCAGCTACAAGCAAGGCTGAGGAGGAAGGCTCACCTGAGCCAGGGGTTCAGGACCAGCCTGGGCAAGGCAGTATGACCCAGAAGACCAACTTCAAGGGCGCTCTGCTCATCTCACCTCCTCCGGCCAGGCCAGGCCTTCCCAGCCTCCTAGCCTCTCCCCCTCCAGAGGAGGCTGCTCTTCCTTCCCGCACCCACCTCGGGCCTCACCAGGACCTGAGGAAGTCTCCCCTGTGCGTGCCCCTTCCTCTAGGGAAACAGCAGCACATTCCATCAGCACAGTATAGTAGTAAACAAAGCTGTTGTTTTTACACCCCTGCCTCCAGCTACTGGGAGGCAACAGTGGGAAGGTAGGCCAGCCCAGGAAGTCTAGGAAGACCGACTTGCTTTAAAAAACAAAAACAAGAAAAACTTCCAGATAAACTGAGGCTGGGGCTGGGAGTGGCCACACTTGCCAGTAACCCCAGCACCTGAGAGGCTGAGGCAGGAGGACTGACACAAGTTTGAAGCCAACCTGGGATACACAGAGTTCAAGGCCAGCCAACAACATGGCAAGATCCTGTCTCCAAAAAGAAAAGAAAGAAGGTTGAGTTGGCACTCTTTATGGTCAATAGGGTACCGTAATTACCTTATAATCATGACCTAAAGTCACCTGGCAGAATTAGTTTCCACTATCACTTGAAAAAAATAAAACTAGCTTTGTGGCTCATGTATGCAATCCCAACTCTTGGGAGGCTGAGGCAGGAGGATCACAAATCCACATATGGGGGTGTGGGGATGCAGCTCAGTGGTAGAACACCTGCCTAGCATGTCTAGGCCCTGTGTTGCATCCCAAACACCCAGAGGGAGCAAGAGTTCTGGGCCTTGTGTTTCTAGCAATCCAGAGGCTGAGGCAGAAGGGTCACTTGCACTTAGGGGTCCAAGATGAGCCTGGGCAAGAGGGACCCTATCTCAGAGAAAACACACTTGGAACAGCCAGATAAAGCTTCTCCCCCCTTCCCCCCCACAGCTAGTGTGGGACCCAAACCACAGCACATTAAAACAGCTAAGTGCTAGGTCGGCTGAGCAAGGAAAGGGAGGGCTCCCAGCCAGTGAGGGGCCCCGGGTTGAAAGAAACAAAACCTGCTCCTCTGGGCGGGCGCAGCGACACCCAGGACTGGTCTGACGAGTCCCGCAGTCTCTCTTCCCCCTGCCCACGTGCTCTCCGGGCCGCGGACCGCTCAGGCCAGTCTCCTCTCCCTCGAGTCTAAGCGGCACAGTCACTCACCTGGGTCCCTGGGCAGCGCTGCCAAAAGTGTCTGGCCAGCCTTATAAGGAGAAGCAGGGCTTCAGGGAAGGCAATAAGGAAACAAAGACAGGAGGGAGGGGTGGGGGAGGGAGGTGTACAGCAGGGGAGGAAGGAGCCCGGCCTTTCTCCTTCCCACAGGGCGGGGAGGAAGGGAGGCCAGGCCAGGTACACAAGGGGCGAGAAAATGCTAATGGAAGTGGAAGGTGTAGTTTAAGCCTGTTGTCTTAATAACTGGGAGATCTAGAAATGTTCAAGGAAAGACTTAACCTTAGGGTTTGAGCTCACATTCCTATTTGTAAAGAGGCAGCTTTTCACTAAGCCCCCCACTTCCTATCTGTGGCAACCCCCTTTGCCCGCTGTTCAGGATGAC